GAAAAGAAAAAAAAGAGTCCTTCCTTAGTAAATACTTGCCACTAATACTAGCACTTGTATATTTATCAAGAGCTACCGTCAATGTGTGTGAATGACACACCTCGTTAATCAACTGTTCAGATTCAGTAATAAAGCTGCTCAGAGTTGACAACATGGGTAATATGGATAACATGGATGGATGATAAAAAAAACAAACTCTGAGAGATTGCTCGTGTCCATTGGGTGTGACTTCTGCAATTATGCTAGCACAAACACTGAGCGCAGCTAATCTGCGAGTAAAAATGATGATCAAACGCACAAACGTGACACTTCCCCGCTCCGCAGCAGGGCCTCATCGACAGAGGGAATAATTGCTTTTTTGGTGCTGCAGCTGCGCAAATTGTCAAGTTGCTGATATTTGGGTTGACATAAGAGCTACACCCACACATTCTACACTCTTCCACCTTCTACATCTACAGTTCTGCCATCTTTCTACCCATCTCTTCATCCCTCTCCCTCCCTCGCACACAGACACACATAAACAGGGAAGGGAAAAAAAGGCTCTCTATCCCAGCTGCTGTCAGTAACCTGGCCACCAAACAAAATGGAAAAATGTTGTACATTATTAGAGTCTGTCAGTTAAGTTTAGAGCCGTGCGGAGTTAGGACAGATGGACGGATGAAACCGCACTGTAGAATTTGAGATGTGGAGCTCTCATTTACGTCCTGTAACAGACACTGTGCGGCCGGTCCGGGTGGTTACTTAGGTGATATCCTCCTGTGCCCAGCAAAAATGTTTTGGTTTCTTCACCTACTGCCAATACCAATTGAGGAAGGCTGAAAATGAGGCTGCGCGCGGGAGAGAATGCGTAACAGGACTGTCGAGCAAGCCTGAGAGGGAATTAAGAAAGCTCCTGAAATATTTGGTGATTATTGGGTTTGTTACACTTGGCAGCACAAATAAACACACCCCCACGTATGAATGCGTCTCATGTTCGGCTGAGAAGCAGCCTGGCTGGCTCTGCCGTGGCCTCGGTCCTCTTCGGCTCAGCATTGACCATCGCAGTCACAATGCACCAAACACATGCTTGTTCTTTTTCAGACATCAGCAGAGCACTGGTTTGCTTTTCCACCTTTTAGTTCCTCAAAAACTATGCATGTGATAACAAATGTAAATAAATGTCAAGATGTCGTGCACGTCATCGGAATCCCATCCCCCTCTAAGGATTAGGAAATTCTACTTCAATTTAGAGCCTAGCTGAACATCATTTGAAGCAACAAGATGCACAAGGACGTTTCATCCAATCAACACGTTCATATTTCTGAGGAAGAATGTTTTCATATTTAATCATTTAGTGAAAGAAATTGCAATATCTGGCATAGCTTAAACCCTGCGGGGAAAAACTGAATTTAAAGTGTAAAATTAAAGGAAAAGCCACATGTATGCGGAGAAAACATGAGAAGTTCCGCCATGTATTTTGAGATGAAAGAACAGTGGGCTAGATAAAAGAGAAGTTCTTCCAGAGGGTTCCTTTAACTAGAATGCTGTGTCATGACTAACTGATGGAAGACTGTCATCTCATCTAGTACATCAGAACCTCAGATAGCATCCACCCCATGTGCTTCTTCTTTAATCTTCTGTGTAACAGAATATTAATCATCCTCAGAAGAAGAACAAAAAGGGGGGGAGCAAATTAGATTTAGAAATAGGCCAAGATGGTGCCATGGAGTACAGTGAGGACACAGTATGCCAAATACAATCCTCCTTAACAAGCAAAGCCCCGGGGAAGACCAGAAGAAAGGACTACCAAGGCATAAATAGACCAGCTGAGAGAATACAGACATTTTTATCAACAAGAAGCATCAGAAGCCTTCGCTCACACAATGGGATGTAACAAGCCTCTGTCATTCCAGTTTGAAATGAGAGTAGGAACAGATCAGATGGTATTCAAACTTCTCCTCTGGATGATGCCCCCCGTATGACTGAAAATACCAGAGGCTTAATTTACCATCTCACAACGTAGTGTCTTACATATCTTTTGTTTTTTTTCTACACATGAAATGCGAAACAAATAAGTTTCCTGGAAAATGGCAACTTTCATATCTGCTCTACTTCAAGAGACATGTTATCAAAATCCTGATTTTACAGCCTCTCTGGTCTGTAATGATGGCCGATGACTGATGATGAGCATCAGTGGGAACACTTTCATGTGCTGCATACAAGATGTGAGGAATGGTGAAAGCCCATGGTCAGACAAGTAGGCACAATTTTTTTAAGAGATGGGACCTACAAAGAGCTTCAGAAGATCACCAGCAGTCCGGCTGCCGTGCTGTTGGTGTTTCTCACATTTCTAAATTGGACCTCTGATGGTGGCATCAGATTCTTCCCACAGATGGCTCTCCAATTATTCTCCACATTCGTTCACTCGTGTCAGTCCTCATTACTGAATCACATCTTAGCAATAGCGGCGATCCTTCTAATCTCATTTCAGTATTTATTTAAATACCCCACTAAATGAAAGTCTAATAGCGTCAGAACCGGCACCTCAATTTCAGGTCGTCGTCGACTGCAGTGCGAGTCTGATGATGTGGGCAAGAAAAGGGTCTTTAAAATGCTAAATAATCATCAGCAGATGCACAAAGGGAGTTAATAGCCATTTACTGCTGTGCGAGTCAGCCGATTCTTTCCATTTTATTACTTTGACTAAGTTTTAATTATTTCTCATGTTTAAGATGGCCCTTTTAACTACAAGCGCTGTCAAAATAAGGGATGTAATCTCTCCACAGGCCAGTTGGTTTCTACAGCCTTTTACTTTTAAAACACACTATGATTCAGTTCTTACAAGTACGTTCAAATCAATATTTCCTCAAACCACAACTTTAAAAATTAAATGAAAAAGAGAGAGAGAAAAAAAAAAGAGGCCCAGAAAAGTTTCAAAGCCAAAAGAAAGAAGATGGTGCAAAGAGGGAGCAACAGGGCCCAGACAGCAGAAGCATTCAGTGTCACTTTTATATAATTTGCTCACACAAGTCAGACCTTCAAAGCTTCAGCTTCAGATTGATTACCAGTGACAGAACAACTAAATTAACTTCAAGTGAGTTCTGACCCCAACGAACACAAAGGGAGGCCGACGCATCGCAGCAGTTATCAAAAAAACATGGAGGAAGAAAGAACACACCAAAACAAACCGCCTTTGCCCTTCTGTGAGCCCGATACATCAATCCCATCAAATGGCTGGAACACAAACTAATAAAACTTTTAATATTTGCTGCCACTGCGCAGCTAAATAAATACATTAAAATGAAACCAAGGGCGTGAGGAGGCTGTGAATGTCTGCTGGCGCAGACACATTCATGCACAGAGCCAGCCAAGCACTGTAATTCTACACTGCCCCACACAATAGATGAGCAATATAAAAGAATCGGGGAAAAAACATCTTAACTCGTGGCTCCAAAGCAGCAGTAACACGCACAAAGAGAGAGAGCGAGAGAGAGAGGGGGAGGCAGGCTAACGGAAAGCCACTGTCGCAGTCTTGTGACCACGGATAGCCTGGGGGAAACTCTGAGTTGCAGAAATTTATGACGGCCATCTCGGTGTAATTGACCCACATCTATGAAGCAACCGAGAGGAATACAAGGGTGGAGTGAGGAGCTGGTCAACACAACCCGGGCTCAGCGGTGCACAATCACAAAACACAGCCCACACTCGATCGATAAAACTAAACAAAACGCTCGGAACTCCAACAAAGAGGACCGCTTGATCGGGTTCTATCAGCTTCTTCTTATCAAACCTTTGGGTTCGTATCTTGTGCAGCAGTGTGAGGGAGGATGTGGCATGGACAGAAAAGAACAGCAGGGCTGCCATAAAAATCCTCATCGTCTGCAGTTCATTATCACCATGCGGTCTGCATACAGCACCAGACATGCTGCGCTCGGGTTTACATTGACTCAGCATCACGGAGAGGCTCAGCAAATACAAATGCCGGAATCTCATTTTGTTGGTCCCTGAACAAGTCACCCCCCCACCCCCGGCCTTTCCTGTAAAACCTATGGAGGTATTTCCATTTTTAACATTTTCTGACATTTTTGAAGTCAAGAGACAGAGAAGTCGGATAGACACAGACATGTAGAAAAATTCCTTTAAAGATTTGAGCAGCTAAATGGAATATGAACTTACTTCCAGGCTGCTCCTAAACAGAAAATACAGACAGAGCTCTGGTCTGCCGGGCCAACACGTGATGTAACATGCATACCGTTTGTTTCGTTGCTCTTTAAACTCTAAAATGTGCCCAACCGCCGAGACCTTCCCAACAGCATGCCCCATGAGTCACAGCGGAGGGGCAGAAAAATCTAATGTGTAGGATAGAGGTTGTATGGGAGCCATAGCCCGAGCAGAGTCAGTGGGGGCCGAAAAAGAAAAAACTACCATCGCCAGAGCCATAAAACCTGCCCAGCTGCGGTATTTGATCCACCCCTCCAGCTCCCCTGCCAGATTGAGACACCTGCACACACACACACACACACAGGGCGTCCTGCACGGCTCGGACACGCCACGCCTGGCCACATACAGCTATTAAAGCATCTCTCTTTTCCCATCATCGCCGGGGAAAGAGACTAAACAGATTTGCTTGCCCCCATCTCTACAGTAATGACTTTGTTTTAATCAATGATCGGAGACACGCCGCCAGAAAAGCACAGAGCAAGAGAGTATCTTTATTGTAGCCATCACTTGTGGTTACTGCTCACCTTTCAGATTTAATGAATAGAGCGCTTTTATCAATACCAAGTCCAGGACTAAACACAACTGTCTGGATGTGACAGATGCAACCGTTTCATGTCATTTACCGCGAAGGTTTTTCCATCAGGATGCTCATTCTTTAAAGCTCTCTGGACAGGCCATCATTATCTTTCCATATACTAACATAATATCCCATATTCCATCATTTCATCAATTAAGTGTTTGCTCCACACAGAGAAATGGAGTTGTACAAAGGTGGCATCTTTATCTGTGCAACCGACAGCTTAATCAGTCCCTCCTGTCGGGTCGTCCCGGCTCCAAAACTTCCTCTTAACGGCCAACGAAAAAAAAGGAAATAAGAGCAACGGCATCCAGAGGAGTTTGATCCTAAACTTACTATTGGACTCTACTTTTTTTCCTTTATTTATTTTTCAGTGGGCTCTTTAATTCCACACCGCGTGACCTTCCAGACATGAAGGAATAACTCCAGCAAGCACAAAGTGGCTCTTCTTTGCTAATGAATAATCATCCCTTTCATGAATTTCTGCTGGATACTTTTTCATGAAGTGCCTGCAGCCAAACATGCGCACATGAGGACGCCAGGTAATGGTGGACTTCCTGAGCAGCACAATATGGCTGCCACCATTTTTTGTTTTTGTTTTTGCGCCTTCTGAGTTGAGCTAGCCTTTTTTTTTTTTTAAGTAGTGTGTGGCGGGTCAAAACTAGGTTATATTAACCATAATTTTTCCAGAATAAACATGCTCGTCAGGTAAGAGCAGGTCTAATAAAAGGGATGACAGCTCGGAGTAAAAAACCTTGAACATCTGGTTTCACTTCTGGTCTCAAATTCGAGTCTTTACCAAGCATGTCCCACAACTACCTTATTAAGGCTGCTCTATTGGACAGGCTTTTGGTCTGCCTTCTTTTTTCCTCGCTTAGGACGCTGTGTTACGAGTTGCTTATAAATTTAGCTCCTGTCAGGCATGCAAGTTCACTTCTCCTCTTTTAAAATATCATTAAAATATTTTGTTTTTTTAAGTAAGTCGCTGAAGTAAGCAAAACCACACAGTGAGTTGTCTCCAGGGTGCCGTTTTGTGAGTGCATGGGTGTAATTGCCTAGTTTGGATTCCTCAGCACATACATGGTTAAAGGGTTTTAGTGCGCAGGATTACTCAGCCGTCTCCGTGCCGTGATTCAGAGTCGACCAAAACTCCCAACCAAGACCAGTTAGAGCATAACTGTTCACCAGAGCAGTTTTGAGGCAGTTGATTTAAACACCTGCCCGAGGTGACATCTGCTCTCTTTCAGCCTTTAAGCCTCGCACCTCGTTTTGTTAAAAAGCTGCAGGTAATGCGCCTACCGTCTAAAGCCTGTAATGAAATCACTAAATTGCAGCTCAATTGTTCCCTTATCAGTATCGCAAATATCCAAAACCGTTTTGCAGAAGGCGGAAACTTAAATCACAGCAGTTAGTACAAGATTTGATCCGTTTTCCCATTCAACCTCAGAGATTATTACTGCGATTCCTTCAGTGAAAGCTGGGAATCAGCCAAAAGCCAGACTGGTTGTAATTGCCAGGGCCATGGTTGGCATGGATAAAAAAGATTATCATACCTGATCAAGCCTGTCAAGGACAGGGAGCATGACTTCCAATGTAATGAGAGTGCCGGATATATCTCTTTAAAAAAAATGTGATTTTAATGAGATAATCATGCTGAATCTGACATTTTGCTGCACTGAACTGAGTATATGTCAGGTTGACATTTTATTATCCTACAATGATATTGTAACATTGATTTATTCTGAACTACTCCTGTCAGTCTGGTCTGCAGTTGCATGTGGGATCTATCCATTTTTTTCCGCAGTGGAAAAACCCAGTAAAGACAGCAAGATTGACTGTTCCGATCCAATTAAATTCAGACGATGCCTCCTTTTGAAATCACTGTATATCAAATCCACATTTTGAAATGATGCAATGAGGGTTAGGTGTGATGTAACAGTTTAATGAAGTAACTTATGTCCTTATATGGGCAAAGCCAAGACATGTCTGACTGAAGTTCTGGCTAAAAAATGCTTTATACATGATCAGATCAATGAAAAACTTAACTACAGCTATGGGGGGGTTCATTTTAGCATATTTTTTCTCTGTTTTTGTGGAATAGGCGATGCTTCCTGCCATGATAGAACAACACTCCTAATGTAAGGCGAGAGGGGAGTTGGTTGTTGTAGTCAGCCTTGTGAAAGACAAACCTCAGTGTATACAGTTTCAGTGTTGGCTAAATATTAGAGGAATGTTTCAGATTCAACATGCTAAAACCAAATCATTCAGTTTGATTATCAGCTTGGTTGTTAGCCTGATCTTGGCTTTGTCAATACAGTTTACTTTCACACAAAGTAGCTTCGTTGAAAAATGTATCACAAAAGTAAAACTTTCCACTGTAGTTGAGACAAGGAATAAGGAGGAAAAACAATGTTTCACATCTGTCAGATATTCCAGGGATTCCCAAAGGAATGAATGGATTCCAGGTGGCTCACAAACAAAAACACGTGTTTGAATACAAAGAAACAAGGCCAAGCATTAGTTTGCTCCATTCCATATTTTGTCAAGAGCCAGCTGCAGGGACAATTGCCTTTCACTGAAAAGGTTGATGGTTCAATCCCTTATACCTCCTTATAGTCGAGACGTCAAAGACTCTGTACAAGATGCAGAACCACACTGTATGACTTGCATAAGAATGAACCGCACATCAAAGACTGTTGAACTTGTACGGCTACAATTTTGCAACTGTGTGAATACAACTTGCGTGCGGCAGCTCGACTCCCACAGATCTAGAGTGTTATCGTTTCACCTCTCAACTTCCCACTAAATCCCAGAGAGTAGCAAGTATCCATCATCGAGGGGGATAAATTTAGGTTTTCTCTATTCCGATTTTCCATTTAAATGAATAAGTTAATCTACTGCAAGAGTTGTGGCAATTCGAATTCTTCTATCCTCCATTCAGCGTTTTATGATTCAATTATATTTCTTTCAGGATCAATCCTTTTTAAAATGGTGCATTTCAGATAAGTTCCTCGATTTGAAGGAGGGTGTGGACTGCCACAACTGGTTCCTCAACAAGTATTTTTAAACACAGAGAGTTCTCGCAGGGGTGGGAGCAAACTACCTGGAAAAAACAAACCTGTTCCTGTGAGCTGCATGGATGAGAAAAAGGTCACCCTTTCAGTGGGCCCACGACTACAACACAACGAACAATGGTACAGCTGGAACATAAATCCTTTTCATGGGAATAAAGCACTGGAAACAAAACATCAATATGAGATGGCTACATGACACGCACGCACTCGCACGACCTGATGCTGCAAAGGAAATGTTGCATCTCACTTTAGACTCCATTAATGGCAAAAGAGGAGTCTGTTTGTTTGGGGGTATATTCGGATTGGACTGAAGTATTGACATGCTGCGGTTGATGGCTGCAAACTAACTCTGTTTTCGTGTTGTGTTTTAGTACACAGGTGTGTCCTTATTTTGCATAGTCAAAACACAATTTCTCTTGACCTTTGCATCATCTGCAAAGGTACTGCTTTAGCTCGCACACACAGCTGCCTGTACTGCCCTGTAAATTCAAGGTAAAAACGATTACTTACATGTCCATGGTTTATGAAGCCATGTTTACTGGCAATTCTGTCAGCTTCCTCTGGACCTCCGGGTATGTGGACAGCCCATGTGTTTGTGTATACTTGCTGACCCAGTGCTGGTCCTGGCCCGAAGACCAGCAGCACCAGCACGGCCACAGCGAGCAGCTCCAGCAGCCCGGGCCTACGGCCGGCGGGGGAAGATGGAGGGCCAGCAGCCATGGGTTCTCCTGGTGCAGCACGGTTACTGAGCACAGCACCTCCCACCGGCCGGGGCTGTTCACAGAACATGCAGGTGCACGGGAGAGACGGAGACAGGAAAAGTTGCAGCTCACCTGGAGGGAACAAAGGCAGAGAGGGAAACAAGCCATGTTAACCAAATAGTAAATACAAAGATCCAGAAGGGTCTTTAGACTATACAGAGTTTTTTTTGTGGCCTCGTGTGTGCAAAGCTTGCGGAATACGCCGACTTATCCACATCATGTGCCAAAGTTCATAGGAGAACTGAACATTCTTGGCAAAATGACAGAATAACATAAGAAGAATGACCAAAGACTAAAATCTGGGGTTAGAACATTTCTAAGATGCCTGGTAACTAAGTGCTGCTGTGAAGCCTGAACACTAAATCTATTTCAAATCAATCTGCTTTGTTCATGAGCAAATAAAAACTGCTCATCTACCAAAACAGCGGCTTTGAGTAGGCGTGGAGCAGCCCAGCTAAGTACGGGTGCTTCATAATTCCACAGGAAAGAGCGAGCAGGGCGTCAAGACTCAACCTAATGTCGTGGTCAGTCACACACCAGCAGATTTAGGGGTTTTATACGCCCACGGGCGAAAAACAGCCAATGGAGCTAGCATTAAATAAAAGGCTTAGGTATACTGAGGCGGCAGAAAAAGGTGGAGGAGTGTGGTTGGAAAACTGGACCGCACCCTGGATGCTGGGGAATGACAGCAGAGTCGTCTCAGGGACGCGAGGCGGCCCCCCCGAGGGCGGGGGGCAAAAGCCTGAGGCGGCAGGGGCCAAAGCCGGCTCGCGGAGAGCGGAGGAGAACAGAGATGACAACATAATGATTTTAGTGCTGCTATTTCTTTGTCGCATGCTCGAGATAATATATATCAGCCCAGCACAAGAAACGCACTTCTAAAAACACAATCGCAGAGATGGAGGGGGAAAGCAATTCTTCAAGCCAAGCGTCTGCAGCCGGTGTTCTCCGACACACTCTGTCTGTGGTCTAATTGTTTGCTGATACTCTTTTGCCATCGAGTTGTTGTTTTAAGCCTGTGAGATAAGCTGCTGAGAGACATCCATCCAAAGGGCTAACCGTGTTGGGAGCAGAATGACCTGAAAGCAGCACTTCTGTGTGCATGGCCTCCTGTAAATGGTTGTAACTGATCTCCTGATTCAGTTCTACTGCGATTCAGGGGGTTCTCCTTTTTCAACACCAGAGCACTATACTTTACACATATTCAGCCCGGTTAGTTTCCCCCGGTCATTTATGTACAGTTGCTAAAAGTACAATCATTACTGTTAAAATCCATGCCCATTCCTGTTTCCTTTGAGGTGAAGTTTCACAACTGGTAAAAATGTTCATGAATTTTGGTACAATTGCAGATAATTTTCAGGGAGCATAATATCTGCCATTCCGAAATGGAATCATGTCCATTCCCCGGGGCTGTTACACAGAAAATTAAACATATCACCATCTCTTTGGTATGCAGTGTAAAAATCAGCATCACCGTGTGCTATCGAATACTGTCACCACTGCTTATCTGAGGGACTTCTCCATTGAAATCTGTTGGTACTACTAGCATTAATCAAAATGTAATACTTTGGAGGTGTTTTTTGTAACACCTTTGCATTCCTAGTAGAAAGGAAGCTTAACCAGTGTTACCCGAAACAAACAAATGCAGTTGAAGAAATGAAAGTGTGGGTCACAAAGTATTCCAACCACAATATCCTGAGACTTCGCATCTCATAAAATGAAGTTACAAGAAACTATCAATAGCGATCAGCCACCAAACAGGTCAATCAGACTGTGAGCTGGTATGACAAGCTGCTAATCCTCGTCAGGCATTTGAGCTGTCAAACTGCATTTAACAAATGCCTTCACAACAAAAGAGAAATACAAAGCAAGCTCAAAGTGTCAGTTTAAGACACGCATAACAAATCAGGAGTGTAAAGAAAAAAAACTTTTTCATTTCTGATTTCCTCTCTGTTACAAAACAGCATCTTAAATAAAGAAAATAATAATAATAATCCGTTCCAGAACAAAGTGATGCGCTTGCTCTGGAACACACAAACCTGCCGTCTGACTGGATCTGCTGTAGTTTGTACAAATAAAAGATAAAAATTAAATAAGGCTGAAAAATGGACAGCTCGGCTCTGAAGACTTATCACAGTTCTGTCCCGATTTATCAGACCTCAGTTAGGCAGACACTGGATTAGAAAAACGACGCAAGAAAAAAAGATAACGACGGCTGATATGCGAGAAAAAGGCTGTGGGTAGAACTCACTCAGCTTTGTCCCGAGTCCTGTGATGCAATGAGCAAACAGAGAGGGAACGATCCCGAGGCTATGTTTGATCTCCAGGCGCGTTCTGACTTTAAGTTCAGGAGCCTGTGACCTCATCTGGTCACTCCACCACTCAGTTTCTTAAACGTCAGCACTCAAACCACACACTCTCAGAAATGCCCAACTGTGACGGTTTACAAGAGACGGAGGCAAGGTGGAGCGTTGCGCTACACGTGGGATTTGGTGGTAAAAGAGTTTAAAAAAATACCAGTGTGTCAATGAAACTGTAGCCAAAAAAAAAAAGAAAAAGAAAATGAATAAATCCATATATTCTAATTCAAACCCATAGGATCAAAACGGCCTCACTGCCAAACTCATCCGAACGATTTTAAAGAGCAACAGTTTCCACCTCATCGGTTTGCTGTTTATATTCAAATGAGATCAAATTGAAGTCAGACGTATTTAACCAACATGACCCGTTCCAAGTCACTGCGAGTGGGTGCAGTCACTGCCAGCTCTCACACTGTGACACGCTTTGAATCAATTACGCAATGTCAAAAGTCCTCATAGGTGTTTGCAGGCAAGTAGCACAATGCAAACGCCACCATTAGCATCCAAATGATGTTAGTGGTGGCGTCCAAAACCGTAGAATGGGTGGTATTTTATCTAACACAAAGATCATCAGATTAAAATAAAAAACCCACTGTTATTCTGCGTCTTATGGCAGATCAGCTGATTTAAAGCTGGCACATCATTATTAAATCAGGGGACTTCTTACTATCTCCAGAACCCTGTCTCCATTCAACTCCAATTAACCTCCTCCAGATACTACCTGTAAATACCTTTATATCATTATCATGACAAGAATAATGATTTCCACCCCCCAAAAGTGCCTTCATGATGTAGTGTGGCTGAAGTCATTAACTTCCATCTGTGTGTGTATATCTGTGGGCAAATGAACACGATGAATGCATGTCACCACCCCAAAAAACACTCATTCTGAAACTTATTTTCTAATCCTCTCAAGGAACGAGTCCAAACCGGGAACAGCAGTCTGGTGTTAGGTCGCCAGCAGAGTGAGTGACTGCAGCTCTGGATCCAAATCATTTCCAGAAAACAGTTATCATTAAAGACAGGAGAGGCACGCTTGTTTGCATCTCTGTTTATCATGTAAGAAGCCTCCAGAGGACACAAATCTTTCCCCCTAGGAGTCATAACATTTATAAGAAGAGCACCAACAGCTTAAGTTTTTACTGGCAGACAGCACTAATTAAGGAAACCAAAGCAGCCTGTTTTGGTTTAGATTTCTTTTAAAACTGAGAAACTGTGAGTGGAGCTGTGGGATCTCTATCTGCCAGTAACCATATCCTTAAATAGAAGGGGGGGGGGGGGTTACGATGAACACTTTTCCTGAAACAAGTGCAAATAAAATACAAAAATAAGTAAAGATAATATAAAATAAGTTATGATTGGCTTTAATGCTACTTGGCCACTAGAATAACAATAAATGTAACTTCTCTTTAGGAATTAATAGAGTTTTTGCCACAACATGTTACATGGTTAAATCCTCTTTTCCCTCTTGGATGTGTAAATAAAAACACATGACAATAATCCAACAAGCTTTGCCGCCGTCTCAGCTGCTGAGCAGTGTATATTAGAAATACATTTTTATGACAGACTTAACAGGGAAGTCACCCAGCTCATCTCATTAGAGCTCCAACAAATGACAACAAAGTTCAGCTGCTGCTCTTCCTCCTCTTTTTTATCACAGGAGACACATTTGTTTTTCTCCAGCCTTGTTGTGGCCTAAGTACTTCTCCAGACTCCCTGCAGAAAAGCATCCTGTGGACTCATTCTGAATCCAGCTGCTCCATACGTTGTATTTTCTCCATAATGATGAGTGGATCTATACACAAGTAGCAGGGCTACGTTTACAGAAAGCACACACACACACACACACACACACACACACACACACACACACACACCAGAAACAGCTCAGTTCCTTTAATATCTATACAGAAACTACTTTCTCGGAATTAAATGATAAACGACCCCACTTCTTTTTGTTTGTTTTTTTGCACATTTGCATCAAATACAGCAACAAAACTGTTGCGTTTTATCCATTGACTATTATTATTATTATCATTATGTGGCGTCAAAGTTGACCCAAAGAAATCTCGCAACTATCCGGACGTAAAACTCCCAAACCAGATGCTTCCTGCGTGGGGCACCGAGGAGCCCCCAAACTTATCTCCCCCCCCCCAGGCCTCTAACCCCAGACACACACACACACACACACACACACGCACACGCACACGCTGCTGGGGTTCGGTCGGTGGGCTTTAGTCGATCTGCCGGTGACAGAAATGTTGTGAGTGTGAGGTCCGTTGACTCACCTCGCCGGATCAGTCCCTGACAACAACAACACGTAGTCGGACTGTGGCTCGGAGCTGATCCGGTGATGACTCCTCCGCTTGACAAATATGTCTGAAACTCTACCGCGACGTGATTAACGCAAACTTGACGCCGCGCCGCTATTATTGCTGCTGCTCGCTTCGTCTGACGGGTGCCTCCCCCCCTCTGTCCGCTTCTCGTATCTGACCCCCTTTGACGAACAATTTTCCTTGTTTTTTTCCTCGTGCGCGGGTTTTTATGACACTAACCGATCGGGAGCAGCCACAGTTTTCCGCCGCTCTGCCCAGCGGGAGCAGCCACGGAGCCCGGACGCGGCGGGGTCGACGTCAAGCTCGGCGGGTAAACAAGAGAGGTTCTCCCCTTTTAGAAAACACTCGCCAACTGCCAAGACCCCTTATCAACAAGCACACCGTTTCCTAGCCCGGTCCGGTACCGGGGTTTCGGCGGTAGGGCACGGCGAACTCGGCAGCTCAGAGAAGTCCGAACGCAAGCTAAAGCAGAGACAGGAAACTTAGGGGACGCCAGAACTTACCAGCTTCCTTTTACATCCTGCTCGACCCGGCACGTCTGTTGATTCAACACCGAGGTGTTAAAACCGACGACGACGCGGCGAAGCGACTGAAGAACTGACAACAGAGAAACGCTGGTAATAAACACTCATGATACCCCTCCGGTGTACCGCTGAGTGGTCTGCACGAGCCCCAGGAAATACGTCACTGCCGTGGACAAAGTGGAGACGTTATGGCAACGACCGCTCACCGAGCAGCGGCGCTGCTACAGCCCCACCTAGCGGCCACGGGCGGAATGGCACCCTCCAAGTGCCATGCCAGACAGCTTGTGGCGGCTGGCAGATCCCCACCGAGCAGAAGGCAGATTTGTTATAGCGAAGGGCGCGTAATAGATGCTCAGTAAGCGGACTACATGCCGATATAAGACGGCCCGATTGAGGAAATTGTTGGTGCGCGCATGGAGGGATTACGAATAGGCTTACGTGGCACTGACCCAGGGTCAGGAGATGGCCCAGCTCAGAGCCTCTGTTTGAAGTGATTATTTCTGGTTTAAAACCACAACAGTGATGCAGAAAATGCATGATAGAGAGGGGAAGAAATACAGATAAAAAACGGAATGATAAGACAATGGATGCAAAGCAACCACAAAGAGGACCAAAGCAGCAAATAATGGGTTCGCATTACACATACGCACATACAGTCGGAGACAGGGCGTCTGCAGAGAGACAGAGGTAATCAGAGACAGGACCAGCCAAAAAGGGTCAAATTAATCAAGCACAGATTAAAGCATGCAAAACAACCATAAAAGCCAATGATAAATGCAACAGAGTCACAAAAATGCACAAATATGACTATCAAAAGACAATTTACTGAAGCCTAAACAAAGACAGAATCAGCTTTTAAAAGAGAACTAAATCATGTGAGAGTCAGATAAACAGAAAAATGAGAGAATTGTCTATGGCACTGGAATGATAGTAAAGCTTCTGGGTACTACTTGACGTCCTGTGTCTTGTGCGACCTTCCATTGTTCAGAATACCTTGTTGAGAACAGCTTAATTATATTTCTTTAATTAAACCTTTATTTAGCCATGTGGAATGAACCACGTGCAATGATGAGTAAGACATTCTAATTTCATAACAAACCTCAATGCTCGATGGTAAACTGCATCAAATGGAGGCAAGCACTGTAATCAACCATGTAAAGATCATTTTTGACCTCAAAGCAAAGACAACCAAAAACTTTTTTTTTAACCCGATGGTTGTCGTTTAGAAAAAAAATTGATATTTTTTGGTATAGATAAGGACAAGTATTTCAATCTATTTTGAGATTTTCTGTGCGTCAGCCATACTTGTTAATTTGATTAAACTTGACATTAATTAGGAATGTGCACCAAGTAGACAGAAACTGCAGCCAACCATGAACTGCTATGCGGTGGGTTCCCATCCACAAGGGCACCTGTGTTGCATCTCATTAACTCATCTCTCCCCTCTCATTTCCAATCATATCTCTGTTGGAGTGATCAAATTACCAGACGCAGGGTTAAAAAAATGAAAGAGGATGAATTAACTCTGAAATTTTTTAAACTAAACTTTTGAAAACCGCTTCCTTTAAGAGAATATCACGGCTTGCAGCACTACAGGCCCTTACTTCATTTATATTAAGGAATAATCAAATGACAATTAATATTCTGCTCACATGTGATTTTTTTTCTGTTACAACTCCTGATAAGTAAAAATGTAGCTGAGACAGGCTGATGTGTGTAACACGAAGTTTTACCCATCATTAATATATCATATATTTTTACAATTAAAAAAGCAGGTACAGTGTAAGTTTGTATTGTCTAAACTATTTGGATGATGGAAGAAAAGATCACTCTTTGTGTTGGGCAAAGGTTGCACACACCAGGGAGCTGAACAGCTCATTTGAGCCTTCAGTTCAACAGGATTTGCACATCACATTTTTAACAGATGAACAGGGCAAACTGCTGCCCACAAAAGGGAGTGGATTCCTGTGGGGAATGCAGACTGCTGTGGTGAGCACATTACCGAGCCAACAAAAGTTATTAATAAATAGGTGCAAGATTTCAAAGGTCAATCCTAGGTTCTTGAGGCTACTTGTATTCTCAGTGTTCCAGACTTTGGTGTGCGGCGGAGATCCAATAAAATCTCATCTACAGTTTATTTGCTTGTTTGTGCCATAAATGTCAAAAAGTCTGTTCCTCTGTCAAATAAAAATTAATCATTGAGCTGCCTGTTGTTATTGTTCTAACAAAAGAGCATTACACAATGTACGGAAGCACAAACAGATTTACTCTCTGCCAAGCCAATAATCCTCATAAAAATGAATCATGCGCGGCAGAGCACAACTGAAAGCAATGAACAGCACACAGAGGAGTGGAGCAGTTCAAAATATTTATTTGAAGTACAAATATGATACCCGGGGAGGTCATAGGGACAATTAAAAGCCGTTCCAGCATTTTAAATTAGTTGCCATAACAAGAGGCACAGAGCCAGTGAGCATAAAGTGAGACGGTCTGGTTTGGGAGCCACTGGGGCTGAGTTCCTTCCTGCAGAAGAAGATGAACATAGGCGTCATGACAGCACACAAATCATATTCTCTGCTCACAACTGGAAGGAAGCATCACACAAGCAGTCTCAACATCAGAAAGTTTATCAGAAGGAGTCTGGTAGTTTCTTTGAAGACACACCTCTGAGCTCCAGCAGGATGTCTCCCTCATACCGAGCGAGTCCAACAGCGTGCCTCTGTTCCGTGTCCAGCTCGGCCCACTGCTCCTCTGTGACAGCCCACGCCTGCTCCACACTCAGCCATGACAACTGAACTGCACTGAACACCACCTGCCAAGCAAACAAACAAAGAATTGTTTGTTTCATTGCCAAGAATGCAGATGTGATGTGGCACTGAGTCCTATTTGCTTTGCAGTCACCAGTTGTTTCAGGTAGTTTTAATAAAAGCAGGGTACCTTTGCGTGGTAGTATAAGAACTTGAAAAAATGTTTTGTACTGAATTCCCCAAAAATGTGGAATTGTGGGAGTATTCCATACAAAAGTGTAGTCTGATCAATATCAGAGCAAAATAAATTTCAACAAAACTTTAATATCTTTTTTGATCAGATTGTGTGCTGAACACAGCACAGGCTGTTTAAAGAAAGGGAACAGCACAAAGCAAAAGTTTCTCACTGCAGCGCTTCACTGCAAAACTGATTCAGCTCATGAAAATTTAAATGGATGTCCAGATGGAGCAGGATTTTTCAGCTTCACAGTCTCTATGATGTCTGCCTCTGAAGATCCAGTGAAAGTTGCCACGATTGAGACATTGTTTGCACAAGACAATATTTGTTAGAAACAGCAGAGTTTGCATGTGTTTATATGATATTAGAGACGTTGTTAGCTCATAGAGTATTGTGCATTTTTTTGTTCATAAACGGTTTGCCAATAGTTTTGTCTAACAGGATTATCAGACCAAGTTTTATGACTAATAACTGCAGGAATTCCAAAGAGTTCACAGGCATTTCTGCCGCTAACTGCGTTTGAATATGCAAATATATACATATCATCCTAATTTACTGATTTGTTTGAAGTAGCTTTCAATCACTATTTTCTTAACAACATTACGGATGACACAAACCATACAACTTTGGGGAAAATCCTGATCATTCAACTAAAACTGTGTCATGTCAGTTTAATTCCTCAAACAAAAGTTTGAAAATCTGCATGATTTATTACAAAATTGTAATGATGACATCAGGGAGACATACTGCCATCTTTTTTGGTAGCATCAGGGCGAGAGCTTCAGGGGTGATTCCCTCCACCTGTTCCTGCAGCAGAGCTGACAGCACTATATCGGGCAGACCCGCTGGAAACAGAGACACACAGAGTCAACACGAGGCAGATAATTAATGTTTCTCATTTAGAATAACAGGAAGAGTGTAGAAAAACTTCCTTGTCTCACTCTAAAGCCTGTACCCTCTGGAATACTCTTAATTGCACCTATCCATCGAAAAGCTGTCATTGCAGACCTCCACCAACTCTCAAAAGAACTCTCAAAAGTTGTGCATGAAAAGTTTAGGCCCTCTGGGATAAAATGCTCAACCGTACCTGCCAAAGTCCCAATTTCAGTGAATATTTCTGGTCCCCATTCACTGACTGGACCAAAGGCCTCCGCTCTGGACAAACAGCTTGTCAGTGCCTCCATCTGCTGTTCTGTGCATGGCAGAGATGTTTCCCGCAAGAACAGGACAGCTAGGCTGCAGTTTATGGAAATAAATAAAGGGCTTCATCCTCTGAATACAAACAAAATGTTACATGGGAGCTTTGCTAATTAATGCCCTCCAGTGGCTTGTTAGTGGTTATGTCTGCAGTTTTATTGTAGTTATCTGTGTCTCCACTCACTTTGAAATGGTTATTTGCCCTTTTTTTGTGGTTGCTTACATGGAGCAAATTGAATTATTTAGCCTAACTTTGTTGGCATGAAAAATTCAGTCTTACAGCAGGTTACAAGTGTGGATGAACATGAATTAGTTATTCGACTGACCTGAGATTGTGGGGGCTCAGTTGTTTCATCTCCCAGGGATGCAGACCACAGATGAGATGGCCAAACGCCGCCAGATCCAGAACCGAAAACTGCTCCACTTTCAGTCTACGCCTCTGCATCACGCCAACAATCACTGCCCTCATCTGACATGTCAAATAGATACATTTAACATCCGGGTTATGAACACGTCGAGGTATTCAAGATCAGGTTCTGTTAAAGGGCAAGATGTCAAAGCCAAAGCTCACCTTTCGTGGACTCCAGTCTGTCAGCGTGCCCAGATGTGCAATGACACCCACATCTGTAAGATTGCTGTATCGCAGCTCTCTGTCCCCCATCTCCGTCACTACTGAGCCCAACGCCAGCACCTGGTCCTCTCTCAGCTCCCTCACTGGACTGAAGGACTGAGTGACATCAAGAGTTCATCCATAGATTATGTCGACATAAAAACATTCCAGCTCATGCAAACTTGTTCCTTGTTGACTTGTTATGCTCAACCTCATTTGTCACAGATACTGGAACACACTGAAAACTTCAAGTCACAACCCCTTATTTTTAATTGTATTTTATAACTCTTTGGAAGACTAATCATAGAAGTGTGGTGAGGTCATATTAGTCCACAATAACCCACGCAGTGTCTGCTTTATCAGCGTAGCATAAGTTAGCTCGACCAGTGTTTGGGAAAACAAATCAGTCTGGCTGAAATCACTCATGAGATGTGCCGGGTGGACTTTTATTGGGGGAGTTTTCCTGACCCGCCTGAGTTTCACCCAGAGTGTCCGGCGCTGCTCAGAGTTCAGGGAGGAATCCTGACCAAAAACTTCCACACACTCCTTTAACTCCTCTGGTGACATGCGCCTGAGCTGAGCCGACGTCCAAGCAGACGGAAATGTTCCTCTTATGTCTGCGCAGCTGGGCACTGGCACTACTCAACAAGGAAAAGACAGAAACACAGTAAAATGTTCATTACACACAAAATACAGTTCATTTTCGGGTTAAAATGCATAAGATGGTGAAACGCGTACTGAACCTTTTGCTCTCCTGTTCCGTGCTTTGACAATGCCTCGAATCAGACTCTGAGTCTTCTGTTCTTGGCGGCGCTTGTCCACACACCGACTAAAACATACTTCCCCAACAGCGCTATCCTCCCAGAGCTTTTCACTCACCAGGACCTGCTCCACTATGTCCTTATTCAACACTGTCTGTGGAGTGGGAACACACACCAGGACATGCTGTTAAAAAGTGAAGGTCTAAAACGTAAAAACCTGCATGACAAAGTGATTCTGGACACTCACCAACGGGATGGAGTTAATCTGCTTTGTTGAGAGAGCAAACAACAACCTGCCCAGATGTTCAACATCTCCATCCTGCCATTTGGATGGATCTCTGTTTAAAAAAAGTGCACATAACCTATCACTGCTCCTGCTTTGTACAATCCATGCCTCACTGGAGCATTGTTTCTGCAGCGAGGTCAGCATATTCTGTTTGCAATTGTTTTGTTTTTTATCCTGCAGTTGCTCAGAAATGTAATCGCTGATTATCCGCCACTTGGCAAACCAATTGGTCCAAATGGAAACAACGAGCAGATAATTTGCTATTAGATGGAATTAATTTTTCATCAAATGATTTATTTAATTATTCTATTCTTTTTTTATTTCATCCATTACTAAACTCTTGCAAAGCTACTGTGCCATCATCCCCAGATCAAATTTTAGCAGTTAACTTATTTTAGTTATTCAAAAGTAATAATACAACATCCTAAAAGTTCTCCTTTAATAAGGAAATGTCCTTTTCAAAAGACATTCATTAGGCAAAAGTGCTATCAGAATTATTTAGGTTGGTAAAAGTGGGTGAAATTTTAACCAGGTAGAAATACACAATTTGTAAAAATGTTAAGATAAAGTTAAAAAAAAATGTTTTTTAAAGTTTGAAAGAATTAACACATTAAATGTAGTTTGTGCAAGAATGAACTTTGCATGAATAAATGATGTTACATTACATCCACATTAGCAATGATTTGTTAGGTTATTAGCAAAGAAGCTCCTTAGACAGCCTCAATGAGGAATTCAATATAGACTTATTGTTGTGCCAAAAATTATATAAAGTTCATTAACCTACATTTAGAAACAGTTCCTCATAATATCACATAAGTCTCATAAGTCACAATATGCTGTTAAGCTTTGAAGGTATCATTTTTATCATTAAATAGTTTTAGAAAATGTTCTAATTTGTAATGATGTCTTCATATTGATTCTGAAGCCAAAACTGTGTGTGACTTTACCCAAGGAGGTCATTTTGAGTGAGAATATCACTAATATCTCTGAGAGTTTCCTTGGGAAGGCAGAAACTTCTTATCTCTTCCACTCGCAGAGCCAGCGCTCTTCTGTCCACTAAAGTCAGACTGTCCCGTTCCAGGAAAGGCAGCAACGGCCCAAGAATGTCCAGGAGGGTGCCATCAATGTGCCCTTCTGCCAGAGAGGTGAGCTGTAGAGTCCAACATTACAGAGAGCGTGCAAGGATTACCAGAAATTAACACTAAGAAGACTTAGCGTGTGTGAAAAGCTGCTGAGAACAGAAACAGGTCACATTTTAAATCTCTTTCTCCATCTGTTTACCCTGTATCTGTTTACTGGAAAAGGTAGAGCGAACAGATGCAGAATATTCTATCTGCCAATTAATATTTTATAACAAATCAAATTTAAGAATCGCCATCAGTGGAGTGTGTCTCAATAGAGATGAACTAGAAATAGGATGATTGCTGTTTGTGCATTTTTTTAAATCTAATTACCTCAAGAGGGAAAGGTTATTCTATCTGATAGTGTCCATACATTTGTAAAGCTTCTGTTTGTTTATTATATTTTCTTTTATATATTACCGTCTGTATCATTTTATATATTATCGTGTAGGAAATGGAGAATTTGGACATGTAGTGTAGATGCTGTACCAGCTCAACTTTGGTCTTCTCAGCCAAGTTTGTCTGTTTATAATATGGCAGTCTTAGGAAATCAACAAAGTGGGAATCAAAATGGTCCAGAATGGCTCTGACTGATGCGTTAGAGAGGTTCTCCATCATCGATACTCTGAAAAAGAGAGTATTTGCACACAACATGTGCAAATGTTGTCCACATTTTACATGGCGTGCCCCATTTATAGTCAATTACACACTGTGAAGAGTAAGGGTAAGACACTTACGGTAATGTGGCAGCAAACCCAGGACTTAGAGCATTGAGGTCAAGTTCAGGTTGTTTTTTCAGTTCATCGACAATACATTTTCTCTGGTAACACAAAGCAAAGTGTCTCAAGATGTTATCATTTAAATAAAATGTGTATTGGTTACAGAAAGACCAACTCTTCCTGTTCCTCGTGAGAGGCGGTGAAAAGGAGTTTTAGGGGTTTCTGAACTGTTTTGCTCACCAAAGCTGGCCTTGTGCCTCCAGGCAGTTTGCTCACAAACTGAAGAAGCTCCATAAAGTCTGTGTCGTTGGTCCAAAGCCTTAAAAAATGACAACTCATACCACCGGCAATACGACCCAGATCCCTATAGATGACAAAAAGTTTTATACCGTAGTGAGTAGTTAACCTGAAAATGACTCTCACTAATTACTTTAGCTAGCAGGAAAAATAATTTAACCGTTTAGAAAGGGTAAAGCATACCTCACAGACTGGATAGTAAGGTTCCTCAATACAGACACCTCATTGAAGAGAAACTGAGCCTACATGGGAAAGAAGGTACCCAACAGAGAACATTTGAATTGACAAAAGAAAAAAACTTTTCCAGCCTGTAAAAATAAAATTGCAGTCACCCTCACTAACTTACATATGCAGCTACTGAGTTTTCACATCTGCTGTATATAAGTTTTGTTATAAAACAATTGGCAAATGTAGTTACTAATGGCTGTTTGTGATATTTCATGATAATAAATCACTTTTACTCTTGGGCTAAAACAATGTGGATTTTTTGGAAAAACACAGCAATTATGTGTTTTCTTCACATTGTGACTGTGGTAAAAGTTTTAGTGTGAGTGAAACGGGCGATTTTGATTGATTTGATTTAGCTCTTGTTAGCCAGAGAAGAGGTGGTGAAAGCAGACTCATACCCCTTGGCTGTGATAAAATCCCTTTAAGGTTGCCATTATTAATTTATGCTACACTCCAGCACATCATTGTACGACATCCAGCCTAATTAGCTTGATGGCAGCTGATCTGAATAGAGTATTAACATCCTGAAAGGCTCATCTGACGCGTGTCCAATGAGTTGCAGATTAATGGGATTGAAAACCGAAGCCGGTAACATTTCCCTGTGTAGCCAAAGAACTGGCAACCTATTGTTGTCATATCAGTGAAATGTTAGACTGCACACAAAAGTGGATTATAGGAAAATGTGCACCTGCTGCGGCGACCACTGTAAGTTTCTGTATGTGCCGATGCCTCTCCATATGGCTTCACCATTCAGCGCCTGTATCATTTTCCTCAAGGGGATGAAAGGAAGTAGACAGTTCACCTGCTGAGTGATGTTCTTCAAGTCTGTGAACAGAACCTGTCAATAAAACACCCAGACAAAGAAGAACGCTTTAAAATCCCCACAGCGACACATCAATCTAACTTTCCCCTGTATGATTTAATTCTTAGACACAACCCAAAAGGTGCTGATGCCGAAACTAACTGTTTCCACCCCACCACTCAACACGTGCCACAAAACAAAGCTCACAGCACATTGCAGGAAATGAGACAGCGGTGAGAAGAGATGCACAGAGGAAACAAAGCACTGTTACCTCCTGCATTGCATTGTACAGCATGGCTCTGTGGCCAGGCTTAAGTTCAGTTAGAGTTGTTCTCCAGCACGAGCAGTGGGCAGTTTTGCTGATATCAGACCACTGGAGGCCTCTTAGCACAGCAGGGGAGAGACCGGAGAGCAACGGCTTCAGTCTGCACAGTTTCTCCATGGTGAGCTGACAGAAGGAGAGGACCGCAGCGATGAGTGGGGAGTTGGATGAAATGTGTTCCAAATATTTTGAAAATGTTTACTTACATTGGCATCCTTTGAAATCTTTGATAAAATCTGAAATGCCTGAGGGGAGAAATGCAAAAAAAAAAATTGCAAAAAAATAGATAAATAACACGATTTCCCATTCCAAGACAGTTTCAAATACCAGTTTACGCATCTTTCATCAATATTCAAGTACTTTTTCAGTCTAAGATGATTGGCAGATTTAGTGTGGCACTACAAAAATCTCTGTATGCATCATAGTTCTATGCAGCATTTTAGAGCAAAAGCCTGTGGATGGATAGAAAAATTGCAAAACTTTCTAACAAAAGGAAGTTGAGGGGTGATGAGGTCAAATTTGTAAGAGAGAAATTCACTCCCCGCTGACCTGTGCTGGCGAATAACTGTGAAATCCTGGCTGTGACAAGACTTCCAGGAGCTGTGGGGAGGGGAGAGACAGCAGGAAGGAAGCTCCCAACTGAGGGAGCAGACCGCTGAGCGCTGACAGCTCTGCAGAAGTCATGCTGCTGATGTTCAGGGTTTTAACGGCTGGTATCAGCCAGGATGACAGCTGTGTTGGCAACGAAACCCAAACAAACGCTGTGTCAATCGTTATCTGACACAAAATCTGCAAAAAAACATATATCAACGGTTTGAAAAGCTTGTCCTGCACCCCTCACCCGTCCATCGGCACTGATGAGCCCCTTGGACATGCACGTGGACAGCTGCTGCCACAGAGCAGAGGACACTGCCGAGTCCTGAAGGTATGACTTCAAGTCTGCTGGATCCAGGTAGCATGCGAGAACTCCTAATCTGCAAAAGACTTTATTCTTCATCCCGTTGTTTGTCAAATTAAAATGAATTTAGATCACTTGTACGTATAGGTTGTCTACTAAGTTGTACGGTTAGCAGAGGGCTGAATGATGGCTCAAAATGGATGCTTATGCAGTAATAAAAATCCAGAAAACAAAGTAAGAGTAAGTAAGTAAGTATATTTAGCACGAGGAAAGATTAGATATGCTTTCCACTCTAAGAAAAACTGTGTGTTTACAGTAATTACTTAGGATAGCAATATTACTCCACTTAACAGTAACCGTCAGGGTGCATAGTACTGACAAGCAAAAATACATAGACACATAAAGAACCTCAGTCCCACCTCAGTATGTCATCACCAGTCAGATTCTTCCTCTTACTGAAAAGGGTCCGAAGGACATAACGCCCCCTTACACCATCCAGGCTACTGTTGCCTAGCAACTCCTTTAGAGGTGTGAGCTGTGCAGAGAATTGATTAAATGTCAAAACGTGCTTTAAAAAAACATCACTGTATATAATTTGTCGAGACAAGCAACAGAAAGCGTCGTGGTAGGGCTGGAGTTTTTCCCAATGTTGTTTGGGGCGCGCTTCTATCCAAAGCCTCTCTTACAAGTGTATTTAGTTGCACTTTAATGCTCTCTAACCTGCTGAGACGTCAGCTGCTGAAAATGGTTGACAGGGAGGTAAGGCAGAAGAGGGAGGATGGAGCTGAGAAAGTATGGTGGCCATGTGGGGGCATCACCCACTTCACTTGACTGCAGAAGCCTTTTCACAAAGGCCTTTTTTTGCAGAGACTTCATCCCTGAGCTGTGGTCACGAATGGCTATTAAGCTGAGGAGCAACACACAGAATTACGGCGTTAGACGGATTTTCACTTCAGTATCATCATTTGTCCTGTCAGCAACTTACACACTGTCATTGACAATCAGGGATGCTGGGAGGCTCATTATGTCCGACACAGACATGAAGGGGATGAACTGAGAAAGATCCACAAACAGCTCTGGGGTTACTCGGGGGAACTTGTGGATGAAAGCAGCCGTCATTGTTTCCATAGCCTGCAGCTCTTGTTGAGATGCCTGACAAAGAAACAAAACAGTGACTATGGATGTGTATTCACTTTGGCCCTTTTTAACTATTCATGAGCCATGACATGCATTCAAAACGTGCTACAACTCCCCCCGATATAGCAAATTTATCTAAGTTCACCATTTAGCTGCATGGGAAGACTTAAAGTGTCACTAAAGTGTAGTAGATTGCATGTATTGTGAAAAGTTCAAAGGCAAACCTGGTTGGGCTCGACCTGAAGCTGGTCCCAGCTTTGATGCATATGGGAGAGAAATCTCTTCACAGCATCCTTCTCAGCAGACATCACAAGAGTTCGAATGCTGTCTCTTGGCATCTGCAGGTACTCCTGGTGAGACAGCTGAGTGTTTAGCATGCCGGGCACCACACTGTGAAATGGAAATACAGCCGCGGAGGCCGGTACCTGCAGCAGGACCCTGAGAGCAGATGAGTTGTCATTCTGCTGGATGAGGTCCCACAGGACAGGCTGGAGTCAGAACAGAAACGGGTTATCTTCTCTGTTTGTGTTTGTGTGTGTGTGACGGAGAAAAAAAAAAGGGACTGTGCTTGTCAGTCAGTGACTGTATCTTACACTGAAGCAGCTCAGCAGGTCTCCCTTCAGAGAGGCGTTCTGCTCTCGGCGCAGGAAGACCCCCACGGTGTGAAGGACACTGGTGGATGCTTCTTGCCGCAGCCTGGCCCAGGACGTGTTATCCAGGAGACTGGACAGAAGGATGGCCTGACCCAGGCCTTGTCTTGCCTCTCTCTCCCCCTCATCCAGTCCAGAGGAGAGCCCTACCATGAAGTCCAAGACACGCAACACATATCCCAGCGCCACTAAAAAGCCCTCCCGCTCTCCTCCCTCGACCTCGCACTGCCTCAGCTTGTTGAGCAGGTCTGCCAGCAGTGGGAATGGATCCACGCACAGCTGCGATGTGTCAAACGCATAAGGTGCTGGTAGCATGTCGAAAAACCTCTGCAGGAGGCACTTCCTGCTCTCCTGCTCTGCCCGCAGATCTGCGCATACCTCGGCCCACTGAGGGTTGAGTCTTAACAGCTGAGGGTAGAGGGTGGCGTTGAGACAGACGTGCTCCCTCAGGCCATCTGTCTGTCCACACAGCTCCAGGAGAGTGGAGTTGGTCCAATCTTGCACACTCCACTTCCTGAACTGGCAATCGTCCACGTCGGCGTCGTCGTAGGAGAAGTTCTGGATCCTGGAGCAGTAGGCTGCAGCCCAGCTACCCTCTGGGAGGGACTGCCGGGAGTCCGGGGACGCTCTGCCGCACAGAGCCGCGATCAGGGCGGAGTTGTTGGGCAGGAAGCAGTGTCTGAAAGCCTCCGCGTCCAGCGATCTGCCGTCCAGCTGAGACAGACAGGCCTCACTGAGCCCTGGACTGGACGCTGCCTCGTCCGAAAGCGGTACGCACAATTCGTCTATCGTCTGGTTGAAAAAAGTGAAGTCTTTTGCTACAGCCGCCTGCAAAGAGTTAAACAGGAGATGGTTAACATGAGATTGATAGAAGTCTATGTATTTCACATTTAAGCTACTAATTAGACTGCGCAGCTTGCTCTCAGCGTAATGATTCGCTTTGCCAGCTTCTTAGAAAACTCCCAAGTGCAACTGCTCACCCATGTGAAAAGCGATGCATTACCTGATGAGCTCTCTGCAGCCAGAAGGAGGAGTTGGCACACACCGTGTTGTTGAATTCGTGGGCAAAGAACTCACTGCACACATGGACCCAGAAGTAGTCCTCCTCAGCAGCCGACAGGTACCAAGCCGCGTCGGAGCATGTTGAGTGCAGGTCGAGCCCCATGTGAGCCATGGCCGGATTAACTGACCCGTTCTCCCCTTCGAACAGTTGACAGTACAGAAATACTGTGAAATTAGAGACCCCAGTCAAGCCTGGGATGGATTCATTACACGCTGCCTCCAGGATCTCTGCAGAGGTGGAATAGTCCATCTCTCTCTGCTTGCTGTTGCCCTTTCTGAACTTTCTGAGAGGCTTGGTGGAAAATTGAAGACGAGGTTTTTGTTTGGAGATTCTTTGTGAAGGAGTTACTTTTCTAAATGGCTGGGGCGGTGGAGGTTGTGACCGTAGCTTTTCTCCCTCGGTGGACGGGCAGGACAGAAATGGGAATGAGTCTGGGAGGCCCTGTGAACCGACGCCCAAAGCCTGTGTGTTCCACGTCACGTTATGTCTTATCCCCCTACAGATGGATGGATAGAACAAGATCTCAAATGCCTGTTTATCAACTGCACGTTCCAAAAGTAAAGTCAGTCTCATCTTCAAAATAATCTTACCATAAGATCAGCTGTCTCAGGTCACCTTCAACAAACACAAAAGAGAGGGAGATTTTTAAAAAATCAAAGTGAACGAGTTGTGGAAAAATCAGCTGGAGGTTTCTGCAGTATACCCTGCAACTCTGGGAGGTGTAACAGTGCAGCTCAGTTAACAAAGCCCAAGATATAATGTTACTGACATCAATGAAAGGAAAAGGGGATTAACTGGGCTAACAAGAGGGGCTTTCACTGTACAGCATGATTAAAAAGATTTTTAAAGCAGTGTCAGTCGCTCCACTGGGCCTATCGGGTGAACCCTGGGCCAACTCAACGAGGCTCTTTAAAAAAAGCATTTCATTCTTTATAGCTCTCGTGACTCATTTTCTCGATCAAAGCACCCTAATGTGAGAATGCATCCAAACGCGGCATCAGTTGTATGACTCATAATTTCACAGTGCTATGACACAGTGCTTGACCTATCTTGATCTATCTAATGTTAGAATGAGTGTATAAATGTATGTCGCTCCAAAAACTCATCTGACAACACAGCACAATGTCTGTTCTTTTTTGCCCTCATGAGCTGTTAGGCCTCAGAAAATCTAATGATTATGTCATACTCACCCACTGAGCACTGGCCTTTTGCGTCGGACTGTGGAACGTCCACCAAGCTGCTGACATCATCAAGCAGCGCCATGGTAACTCTGGAGACTTTCTTCCTTAGGTTACCGTAGACGGAGCTTCCCACTCTGTGCAGAAGGCCCCTCCTCAGCCCATCCAAACTCTGCACAAGAGCTAAATTTCTCTGGGTCAAATGTCCTCCCCGTTCCCCTCCACCTGACCGCGATAGGGCCTGCAGCAGGAAGCTCTGCATGGAGTCTGACCCCTCCTCTGTGGTCATCGTCTCATCCACAGATGCATTTGCAGACTGTCCATCCTGTCTCAAGGCCTCAGGAGGCAAGCTGAAGGGTTTAAAACGTCCAAACGGACTTGAGCCCCTGCTGTGTCCAGCAGCTTCCCCTGCGGGGTGTAAACTGACCACAGGTTTCCAATTCCGCGTTTCCAGGAACTCCAACAGCTGCTGAAGCCAGCTAACACTAAAGGCACAATCATTTTGGCCCTTTAGAGCACAGATGAAGCCCTGCAGGCCGGCACTGGCCTGACCGTAGGTCCCACTGACCAGAGCCTGAAGGGCAGCTTCCAGCACGGCACTCACCGTTCTCCAATTCTGAGAGAGGAGGGTCAGGAGGGGCCGCTGGGGCTGACGCTCGGACACGGTGATCAGACTCTGCATCAGCCCCAGCAGCCAGTCCCAGTGCTGGCTGCCCCTCAGGGACAGGAACCAGTCCTGCACTCTGATGCTGGGGCGGGGGGGCACCCGGTCATTCCACTGGTTCAGGGCAGCACTCCCCTCAGACTGGAGGAAGAAGTGCAGCACCTTCTCCCACAGCTGCTCTTCATCCGAATCCGAGGGCACCTCGTCCAGCTCGGCGCCCATCTCTTGGAGGTACATGGAGATGTTGTAGAGGAAGCCGGACAGACGGTGTCTGTCTATTGGTTTGTTTAATGACGGCAGGGTCTTGCTGGGAAAAAGGTTCTTCAATCCCCCCATGATATTCCTCATCCACGTTTGCACAGACTGGTTCCTGTTGGTTTCCGGGGGGGATCTATATGAACTCGAACTACTTCCTTTACTCCATTTTGAGAATATCTCCTTGAGAATAGCATCTCTATGATGCACTTCATCGCCTGCTGCAATATATGTAACTATCATTGGAGACAACTTTGTAATGGAACACTTGACATCAAATCAATATTGTGTCTTGTTGAAACACTCACCTGTCCTTTCCAGGTTTCCTTGTCCAAGAATAACAAGGTAAACTACAATGCATGTGGATTTTAATGTGGCCATCCCTGACCCTTTCGTCACCATCTTCATCTCATACTCACATGCAGAGTGACATCCCAGAGTCACCTCTTCTTCTCTAGGCTGTTTTCCCTTTTGATTTCACTTAAAAAAGGAATTCAAACACACGCATCATTGCTTTCCACCGCTAGTAATTGAAAGTGGTAAAGTATCGCTGCAGGGAAAGGATATTAAAGCTTAATGACTGGTTACCACATCACCTCACCACTAAAGCTGAATGGTTAACAAAGTCAGAATCTGTAATATAATTGATTTTTACAGACTTAAAGAATTAGTGGTAGACTATCTGTGGTGCTTAAAGTGCCCACATAAAAGCTCTGAACTATTTTAAAAAGTAGGATATGGTCCTTCAAACTAATCCTCAGTTTAAACTGTTTTGAATACCACGAGAATTTCCAGTGATGGAAGGAAAAAGAAGAAAAATCACCATTTTAAAACTCACCAGAAGCTGCCATCCCTTTTTCTGTCTTTAAGTGTTAGCCAGTATCTCCTTAAAGTCACCAGCGTTAGCACACCCTGCGCTGACCTCCTCCTGTGTGGCACTCTCTATTTCACCATCACTCTGACTTTCTCTTCCTCTCACTCTCCACCTGTACCCCTCCCACCAGTGTCCACTACCACTCTGGTGTTTTAACAGGGGGCAGCTGATATCCTCTTTTTTTCCCCTGGGTTTTCATTAATCTGAGCTTTTATATTTCGGTATAGTATATATATGTGTATATATATATATGTATCTATAGTAATTTATCAGTATATTTCTAAATTACAGTGTACCTGCAGGAGAACTGAGGTGTTTTATGGCTTGCGCTTTTGCTGGAGTATATATTGCTTTAGCTTTTCCCAGATCTATATTTCGGAGTATTGTGAGGCCAAGGTCGAAGCATTCAGATAGGTGAAAATCTGGATCATATTAATCACACCAACGCCATCTGCCCCGATCTCAAACTGTCTGGCCTCCTTGTCCATTCTCTATTGAGATTGAGGCTCATTTGGTGACACTGGGCGTGTTGTGGGTGTAGTCTTACCCAAATGGCCGGGCCAGCAGGACTGTGCGGGTTGTCACTGTTGAGACACGTTTATCCCTCGCTCGGGCAAGCGTACAATTGAGCCCTGTGCAAGGGCGCAGGAGCTGGCTCCCCAGAGTCAGACCTCTGTCTGCGGGCCCTGAAACCCGAGAGGGCCGAGTGAAAGGACCACCTCCGCCTTCCACTTGCCTGAGCTGTATCATACTGTGGACTGTGCAGTGACAATAACTTGCTCCTGTATTATTGATGTCACGGGGAACAGCGATCACTCAGTGCAGCAGGGCTCAATTCGCCATGGGAATAGCCAATGAGTAACTTTATCCGCCCCATACGTTCTTCCACGCTCTGCTGGAAACTCTGTCACAGCAGCAGGGAAATCATCTGGTGACAACAAAAAAACAACGTTGAGATTGGAGTATATGGTCCGGGGCCAAGTTTTCAACTCATTTTGCAATAGAACAACAAACCCATACAGATGGAATTTGCCCTAAAGTGGTTGGTGGGTGTTTTGAAATGAAAATAATATATTTTTGATTAATTGAAGATGGTTTGTTTTCGTGCTTTTTGTTTCACACAATGTCACTTGAAGTCACATATTCCTGTATCGTGTATCATCTATATACACACATATATACATATTTTAACTGAACACCTTGAGGGGTCCCTCAGGGTGTGAACTCAAAACATTAGTAATGATCAAAACATCTTATAAAGAGACAAGTAGAACCATTCCTTGATCCCAACAGTCTTATATCATTAGCATTTATGTGATATACTGATGGAACTCACCCTTTTTTGTTTTTAAGTCAGATTTATTATTCAAATAAATATAATCCGACATACCAAAAAAAGTTAAATGTATCTTACAAACAAAGAATAGCCAAAAGAAAAACTAAGGAGTTACAGTGGTGATTGAAAACATTTTTGTAGATGCTGCAGTTTCTTGGCCCATGAAGCAGAGAACAGAGACTTTCTGGGGCAATAATTCCCCAAACTCCACAAATGTAGGGCTTCTAAAATTATCAGATTTTTCTTTACTCGCTTAATCCAATTTAGGGTTGTGCGGCCACAGAAACAAACAATCATGCACACCCACATGTAGACAGAAGGTCAATAAAGAGCGTATTTGGACGGTGGCATGAAGTGGGAGTGCGCAGGAATTACTCGTGCACGCTGGGAGAGCATGTAAATATACAGTAGGCTTATATGGTTTGATGTGTGTTTAAAGGTGGGTTTTTAAAATTCTGTATGAGTCAGGCTGCGAACCCAAGAGCTGCTTATCTGATAAATCTGTTGGTAAATTGACCCTCACAGCTGTTTCCACTCCTTTCATAGATAAGTTCACAATTAAACAGCAAGGAACTGAAGGTAATGCATTTTTAAAATATTTTTTGACCTAGTTTAAGAGTCTTTTCTCTTGGGGTCAGGTGTTGTCATGATTGTGCTTCGTCAGTTGCTTTTAAACTCTTTGTTAAGCACTTTGTGTAGAATTGTCTTGAATTCTACACAAAATGTGCTATACAAATAAACTTGCCTTTCCATAAAATAATTTTTGAGAGTAAAATAAAGACCATTATAAGGTTTAACTTGAATTCACACTCTAAATTTACCATATTTGTAATTATTTGGTTTATCCAGTGGAGGGCAGTATAAATCAACATCTAAACTACCTTCTTGTAGTCTAAGTCCTAAACTATAGATTTGTTTGGTATCGCAATTAGAGGATTTTAGATAAAAAATGAGGAAGAAAAAAAAATGTCACATGAATTCGTCACTGAACTGGATTTATATCAAAGGTAAATCAGAGAAATGAGTTTGATTCTGAAACAAAAGCTGTAAGATCTGCAGCAAATGCCCAAGATCTAAGATTATGTTTCAGAAGAAGACTTCTGTCATGGTGAGGGCTCTTCTGAAGAATAACAGAAAGTTCTTTGCTTTGCTTCAGCAGCCAGCTGCACATCTCGCCGGGCCTGTGGGACACACAGTTGTTTCACTTTAACACAGATACCCCAGTCTCATGTTCTCACCTAAACAAAAGCATGGCAGTCATCTCACGTCCCGAGCCAATGACTTACCTTAGAAATTAAAATTCCTTTATATTCCAAGTTCTTCATGGCGGATTTGATGGATTCAAGATTTTCCTATAAGCCAAAGCATGATTTTGTTAACATTTTATAGAAGCATTAAAACAAAACACACACACACACACTTGAAATATACAGAGCACAAATCGGTCAACGTCAGACATTACCTCAACTTTTTGGGTGAACTCGCTAAGAGCCGTGTGATCCATGTTAGTGGCTGTGAGCACGGACTGGAGCTGAGTTTCCGTCGTGTCCAGGCTGTCTCTCAGGGCCTGCAGCTTCCTCTCCAGCCCTACGTTCCCTTCATCTGCTTTACCCCGATAGCTCTCAACATTCATGGTGAATGACTTGTGCAGGTCATCCCTTTCAAGCTGGAGCTGAGGGGAAATGGGAAGGCACACGCACATAAGAAAAAATAAGGATACAAAGTTAGAAATGCTCTCTGAGCGCTTTGCAACGCAGCCATTGGCCTTCACCTCTCTGAATATCTCTTCCAATTCTTCATAGTCCCGTTTCACGTCTTTCAGCGCCTTTGTTTTGTCCCTTTCTAAGCCACCCTGTCAAGAACAGTTGCAAGCGTGAGACTCGTACAAGCAGATCTAAGTTTTCATGTTAGAAATGGTCAACCGAAACACGCACCTTTCTTTCTGAGATGAGATTAACCTTTCTCTCAGAGTCACTCTGGGTTTTTGAGACAACGTCTGCCAGGCTTTTGGTTTTTCGCGAAGCAAATCGTTGCTGCTGTAGAATCTTTGTAACTTTCCCCCTCTGTTCTGCAATATTTTTCTAAATGATAAAAGTAAACCAAAGCCAACATCTGAGTTACCGGTCAAAGAGAAAATAATCAGCTTGTCGAAGTTGTAGGTTTTTTCTTTAAAATCCCTAATCAAATGGCTATTTTGAGTCAGGGAATCAAAACGAGATGAATGTGTCAGATTCATTCATTATTGGGTGTAAACTAAAGAGTTTATGGCTACACATGCTGGCACACATACCTTTAATTCCTCCTTGTTCTCTTTTTTATTTTCTTTGAACAAAACTGAGAGGTTTTCTCTGGTGAATTTTTTGTGGTCCTCTATGATAGCAGAGATGTGGGTGTTCCACAGGAGAGTACATTCACTGATCACACTTTTGTTTAAGTCCTCCAGCTCTTGTTCCAGCTGTTGCATCTTTTTCACGTATTTTCCAGTAGTTTCTACTCAAAAGTGTTATTTTGGAAAATGGCAGCCAGTTAATTTCTAATAACAATAGACGTCACACTTGAGAGAGGATATTTACCTTCGAGTAGTCTCTCCCAATTGTTCTTCGTTACAGTCATTTCTTCATCATGTTTCTGGTGACACAACAACCCAGTTAACACGTTTTAACTCCAATGTTTTCACATCTGCTCAGTTAAGATTCCTTTGTGCTTCATTTAAAAGCACCGGGTTCCCCTCTGATGTTGTTAGCTTTAAACTGAGTAGTAAAAAGTCAAACTTTTCAAAAAACACAAAAAATGCCCAACAGCTCAATGATAAGAAATACAGGGGACGGGAGTCTTGTGAGACCAGAAAAGGATAGCAGTGTAGATAGCAGCCACCAGCATCATCTTCACATCTGACACATGATAACAAAGTATCTTTGAAGATAGAATATAAAAACAAAGTACGTTCTACAAACCAGTGTAAGCTCACTGATCAAGTCTCCATCATCGAGCTCCTGCATGTCTATCAGGAGTGATTTCCTTTTCTTGTAGAGCTCCATCTCCAGTTGCTCCTGCTCCATTTGCAGCACCTCAGTGGTCTCCAAACAGTATGCTTTCAGCTCGGAGAGGGTGTTCTGATGCTCACACAGAAGGTGCTTCATCTTCTGCTTATACACCTGGAGGAGAGGCATAATCAAAGAGGCCATGTTAAAGTCTTCATTTATCAAAGATGCCCAAAAACCACGATTACGTTTATGTGACCAATTTTACGTGCTGGATTCTTGGTGCCTTTAGGCTATTAAGGAAAATTGTCTATGTGTTGTTAAGGAGGACGTAGTAATCCTACATCCTCTTTTTTCAAACTGAAGAATATGGTCCAGCTAATGTTGTCTTCATGTTTAGCAAAAATTAAATAAACAATCATGTTGTTTGTTTGCTTGGAGAACATGACCATGAAGTTGTGAACCAGCTTAATCATATATAAAAGGCACAAAAGATGTTCAGAACTTACAAAGAAGAATACCATTTATTTTTATTTTGAAGACAGTATCATCATTCAAAAAAAGAAAAAAATTATAATGGTAATAATTCGGTATCGTACCCCGTTTTTCTCTACAATAAACAGATATCTCATCACTGCTATATTCCATACATACAGATACACTCAGCCTCTGAATAGAATCATGTAGCTGTGCTATGTGTGTTTATCTTACCTGAATCTCTACTTTGTGACGGCCCTCATCATCCTCTCCGGCTTTGTCCAAAACCTTCAGTTCAGCAATCATCTCATCATGTTTTCTGTTAGTTATTTCCCAGAAGGTGTCGATCTTATCCCTCTCCAGTTGGAAATAGTTTCTCTCTTCCCTCTCTCTGTCCAGCTCCTCGCCAAGGCGCAAAATGTGCTCTTCTATCTAAAATTTGAATTCATAATTAAAAAAATCTTGTTTTACAACAACCTAGATAAAAAATCTAATTACTTACCTACAACCCCCCCCCCCCACAACGTACCTCAAAGTCATTTATTTTAAATCAGTGCAGGGAAATACATTTCTGTTTGCCAAAATGCCTTTCAAAACCAAAATCTGACATGTGAAATACCTTCAACATCTGCTCCTATACTGCAGACATGCTGATGAGATGTGGGGCATTGGAACAAGGCATAATAAGTGTCTATGAAAATGGAAGATTTATGGAGTGCCATCACTAACCACCAGGGAATAATACTAACACTGTGTTTTCAGCATTAACAGGCTTGGCAGGCATTTCAAATTTGCCTAATTATAACTGAATATTATTTTCTTTTTCTACCTTAAAAAGAGAGGCGAACACACAACGTGAACGTGTAGTAACTGAACAGAGACATTTTCAGACATTATTTCCACTCTGACCTGCTCCTTGGAAATCTCCTCTTTTGTAAGGCCATCTATAAGAGTGGGTGTCTTTGGCTTCGCGGATTTTTTACCCGAACCTTTCTTTTTGGGCGGCTGGAAAGGGAAAAATAAAAGCAGGCTTAGGTTTGGTCAGCAGTTTTATCTTCAGGCGAGCTACGGCTAAGACAAGTTTGCATCCAGTCAGTGTCCATTCTGGTGGCTAAATAATTATTTCACACAACACACTGATTACCATTATTTGTGCTGATCAAATGATGAGTCGACAGACAGGGGATGTTTGGATTGTTTTGAATAGGGACCTCAGCAGTCTGAAGTCGGGGCCCGGACTGTTTAAATGCGTTCCTATGGTAACAGAGGAGGAGGCGGGGCCTCAGCCTGCAGAGGAGGAAATTGAATCAATTTCCGTTTATTTACATCTGTGTGCCATCACAGCTGGTTTATGACTATTTCTTTCTTATGTTGTTTTGTACATTAAGCTTACTTTTGTACATACGTCTGAGCACTAATAACAACACACACACGTATTTTTCAGCTGCTACCTGGCCAACCAAAATGACTGTCTCCAGTGTCCAATATTTAATGAGATAGCCATCTTTCTTTCATTAGAAATGTTAAGAGTTGTAACTGATAATCCTTTATAATACCATACACAAATGTGTCCGCTACATTTAAACAAGTTAAATACATTTTTAATGAAATGATGTGTGTATATAATGTTTGCTCGAAAGGCAGTGTTCTGTTTGCCAACATTTTACATCTCCTTTAAAAAGAATTAAAAGATCTTTTCTTCAAACTCTGTCACGCGTGTTCTAATCGTATGCATTACACTGGTACTGTAAACTTTATAAAGGTTTGTTGTCGACACTGTGGAAAAGGTCTGATGCGTCACTGGGGTGTAGTTAATGCTGAAATTGCATTTTGATCCACGCTGTACGGCGGCTGTATAAAATAGATACAATGTTTGGAATCCTTATTTTATTATTTGTAAAAACAATATAACCATTTCATATTGAAAATCAGGTAAAATATTCTCTTGTGATATAACAGGAACAGATGGTCAAACGTTGAGCACGGGGACATCAAAGAGGTCTGAGCGGCTCTCATTAAGACTGCAGACATATTCGTGCTCAGACGGGGGCGTAGACAGGTGGACAAGTGGAGAAAAAACTGTAAGAGTGGTAAACATGTGATTATTGCAAATACCATTATGTGATCGGTAAATATAAATGAAGTGAGACTGACAATAACACTCACCTTCAGATGCCATAAGCTTTGTGATCAGATCTGTGCTTTTTACTTCTACAATTGGAAGAGACAGCATGTTTAATCTTTAAGTTAGAAGAAGTCCAGTAGACTGAATATTAAAAAGAAATTATTCAGAGATAATGAAGTAAGAGAGTAAGGAAGTCTGGCTCTACCTTTGGCTGGATCAATGAGGTCCTGCAGTTTGTTTGATATACTATGAACTAAAGAAACAAATTATTTTTTAAATTGATGCGGAAGTTCTAAACAAATAAAACACACAATATGTGTGAAAGAAAAAGTACACAACCCATTCCTGCTGACAAAGAGTGTTCAGGGAAAGGGTGTAGCTTGACATCTGTGTCTTTAAGACCACCATTCAAATAGTGATTTAAATGTAACATTGGCCACTCATGCAGCATAATGTTTGACATAATGTAACAAGACAGTTAACTTTTTTTAAATCACACTTACACTTATAAACACTTACTACAGTGTAATAAATTTGGGATAATTAAGTAATATGTCTGCTAAACGGACATTTGAGTACTCACATGCAGGTTCATCAGTTCTGCTGGGTTCGGCCTTTTTGAGCGATGATGCGTAAAGTGGCTGGATGTCGTCCACTGCTCTACATCTAGATTTAGTGCGTTGGTTTCTGTAAGTCTGACGGGACTCTGTGGCATTTTCCTTTTCATCTGAAGTGGACGTGGCAGACTTGGCGCGCTGTAAAATTTCATCAGGCGGTGGAACCGGGAGCATAACAGGAGGAGAGCTGACGGAATATTTATTAAGAAGTACAACATCTATGGGTGCCTCGCCGCTCTTCATGTGAATCTGGTACTTTGCCGGGCAGTTTGGAACCTGAAAAGAGATGGATACGCTTTGATGCAACACACTTGATGGAAGACCGGAAGGAGAGAGAAAGAAGCCATGAGAGATCAAATAATGCACAACTTACGGCTTTAGGAATGGGAACGTCGAGCTGTGTGCCAGGGGGTGGTTGTATTGCCAACAGAGTGTGACCTGAAAAATGACGAGAGCCTCAGTTTCAGGGGTTTTCCACTAATACCTACTCAGCGTGGATTGGCTCGAGTCTACTCCATTTTTTTGGTTTTCTTTGCATTTCCATCAGGGGCTGGCGCCTGCTAACAGTTACAGTTTCACCATCTACTCGGTACTGAGCCAGGCCAACGGCAGGTTGCCGGTCACCGACAGGCCAGGTAGTCACATGACTTGAGGAGTCACGACATCAACCCCTTCAGTTGAACCCTGTCCGTCTTAAACTTGCAAGTTAAGGTGGGTAGAACCAAGTAATTGCTAATTGAAATCCCCAATTTGTATTTGTTATTTAGCATCTCTGCAAAAAATATATATGTTTTTCCAGCTCTGTTAATATTTTTAAAGCACCGAAGCAGCTAAATAAAGCTAGAACTTCACGTGTTTATGTCACAGATTGCTTTTATGCTTGGATTTAAATTGAAATTCTAACAAGTTGAAATTGTTTTAAATTCCAATTTCTCATTATTCTGACAAATACATCCACCTTCAGAATTAACCGGCGGCAGAGATGAAGCAAGTCTTGTTTATCTCCTTGGATGTAACTCTGCCTCTTTAAGGGCCACTGGGATTGGCTCCAGATCCCTGACAACCTTATATTGGAGTAAGCAAATATAAGATGGTTAAATGAAATGGTACAGAAATAGGATTATACATTACCGTTGAAGCAACTGCAGATGTCCTCGTGAGTCACATAGTTCAGCGTTGATTTGGGTTAAGAAAAATGAGCAACATCAAAAGACTGGTGGAAATAAATCACTGTTATAAACATTAAATTACCACACTGAGTGTGTTTAGGTCAGTCCACAACAATCTCATTTACATTTGATATAAAATGGATTCGTGTATTTTTTACTTATATTGTGTAAACAACTTATGGACCAAAATACCTGATAAATATTGGAGCATGTTCCAGCTTAGACATGAAAAAAAGGATATTTTCTGTCGTCTTCTGTTATGTGTGTGATGTGCTGCTCAAGAAAGACCTTCTGCTGGTCCAATAATAATTCTCTTCGATCCAAATCCTTCAGCTCCGATCTAAGATTTATGAGTCTTTTGTCCACAAAATTTGGCCCTTCTCCGGAATCTCCTCTAATAAATAAAGAAGATTTATTAAAATAAGAACATCTTTTAATTTGCACTTTGGGTACACAAACAAGAGTATGAAAAAACAACTTACATCCATTTTACAATGCACTTGGATATTTTAACTATAAGACCAACGCCCTCCAGAACATTTGTAATGTCATAGATTCTTCTTTTCTGTCCAACAGCCAGGACACGGACTGCCTGGAAGGACATAAAAGTACACTTTATGAATAGGACCTTTATCTTACTACTTTTTAGCCTTATTCACAAGGTTAATTTTCTTTAGAATATACCACAACACTTTGTGACATGGCTGTTTGGATAAATGTATTTGTTGGAGATAAGAATCAACTCAAGTATCAAACAAATAACATTGTTATTTGCGTTAAAAAGCTGTTACTTGTGGTTAACTTGTTGCCACTAATAACTACACTTTGATGCATGGAGCATAAGCGGTTTCTCCGGAAATATGAAACATGACCTGTATCAAACTTCAAATACTGTTTGGTTACAGGTGTTGGAAACACGTTTTTTGTGCAAGCTAGTGGTATAGCTGCATCTGACCTGCCTGTTGCATATATACAGGCCTCCAGCTGTGCACCTGAAACTAAGTAAGTCCTACTTTTAATAAAAGTACAGATGTGACGTTATGCATAAGATTTGCTAAAAGGCTCGAACGTGAACCTGGACCTGTTGGCTGCTGTTCACTCACATATCTGATGTCCAGCACTCCGTCTTCAGACTCTCGGAGTAACCTGATGAACTTCGAGGCGAGCAGGTTGAGGCTCCTCAAACTTCTGGGAAATTTGGTGTTCTGGTCCGGCGTCAGCGTCTCCTCGTCAGGACTAGACGGACTGCTCTCATGGTCCATGTTGCCTCTCGTGAGAGAAAAAAAAACAAACAAACCTGAGTTTCCTGGCGGGTTTGAATGAGCTGCGCACGCACCGCGACGAATATCGTGGCTTTTCCTCCCAAATAAAACAACGTCCAAATTCAGTTTATTTGTCCGCAACGAGCTAGGAGTTATTCTCAAAAGATGCAGGGTAAATTATTCATTTATAAACAAAATACATTTATGTGGGCCTACTCCACTCGTCCATTCAAGTTTAAAACTTTTGTTGTGGTCAATAACATCTTATTGTGAAAACCTTGTACAGGAAGCATGTTTCGGGTATTATTGCCATAGACATGAGACGCTGACTATGGTGTACGCATGCGCCGTGCTCTTCAAATTACGTTGTCGATTTTAAAAACGTATTAAAGCGTTTTAAGGGTTTTCACACAGGCATACAAAGGTTGAATGGCATATAAAAACATACAACTTTAATCAGGCAGCACTTGATAAAAATAGAAGATACGTAAATAAAGTTGTGTAAACGTGAAGCATGGTCACGTGAGTCCTACACTGCAGTCACCTGACGTTCGGAAGGGCTCAAGCGGAGCCGTGGTGCAGTCGTTTTGGTTCATTTTAGAGGTTGATCTGTCGGAGGAAAGTCCAGAGATGTCTGCTGCTGGTTTTTTGTTGTGTTTGCTGGCCGTTTTCCCGCTGGGCTCGTGGGCCCAGTACGGCCCAGATGAGGTGACCGTCCTTCCGGGAGCGACGTTCAAAATCAACTTTCTCCAGTGGTCCGGATACCTCCAAGCAGGACCAAATAAGTTTTTTCATTACTGGTAAGAAACGGTTGGTTTGTTCGGTGGCCTATGGCTTTTGGCTTGGCAATATTTCAGTAGACAGAAAAGGAGTTAATGTTGAGCTTCAGCCAGCACAGAAAAGGACACACCGGAGTCTTTAGCTGCAGGAATTTAACATGCATTCTCTAGTAACAGATCATTTGTATCTGAAATGTGTTTTTTCTAAACACACGTGCATAAAATCGTCTTGGAGTGGAGTAAGCCTAAGAGTTTGGGCTTTGTCATTTTGTTCGTCCCCAAAGACCGAGATCTGGAAGTATGTATGTAACCAACCAGACCAGATGAGTGACGTCACAAGAACAAAATAAAACATTTCCAGATGATTAAGACAGCCTGAGCAAAATGAATGACTTTGTCCAAACCTTATATATATATGAAAGACTTTGAAACACATTGGTCAGAAGGACCGTCACCAATTGATTTTGGCTTGTGATGGCTGAAACAACAATCAGATCCCTTAAACAGAATTTGACACGGCTGATCATGATCTTAAATCAATAAATGCATCACAGTAACCAGTATTGTTCATTCCCAAATCTTAATGGTTCCAGGTTTGTGGTTTCCCAGAGGGAGCCAGCCAAAGACCCGCTGGTCCTGTGGTTGAATGGAGGCCCCGGCTGCAGCTCTCTGGATGGATTCTTGTCAGAAAATGGACCATTTCATGTAAGCAGAGCTGCACCTGTGCTCTGGTTTAAAGAGACGTTTTGCTTCAGTTGTCTGTGCTAACCTTTCTGTTTTCAGGTAAATGATGATGGGGCCACTCTGTATGAGAACAAATTCAGCTGGAACAAGATTGCCAATATCCTGTATCTTGAATCTCCTGCAGGAGTGGGATATTCCTACTCTGTCAACGGAACAGATGAAACTGATGATGACCAGGTAAGTTTAGTTTTAGTTCTTCAAAGAAGAGTCTAAAGACAGCTTTGGGTTATTCCTTACGGAGAAAATATGACATTTTCTTGGCTTAGGTTGCTGAAGATAATTACAGAGCGCTCCAGAGTTTCTTTGTCAAGTTTCCAAACTTCACCCAGAATGAGTTCTTCATCTTTGGGGAGAGTTACGGTGGGATTTACGCGCCGACACTAAGCCTGCGCGTGGCCACGGGAAGCACCAAAATCAACTTTAAGGTGAGCCGCTTCATGATTACAAAAAGAAAAAATCTTGTTACTTCATACTGGCAGCTTTTCTTACTGTTTTTCCAGAAACATCATACATACTTCTTTGCAAGATCTAAAACATCCTCCCATCTATTTTTTAAAAATTTTCAGGGCTTTGCGGTGGGAAATGGTCTCAGCAGCTTTGCTCTCAATGACCAGTCTTTGATCTACTTTGGCTATTACCACGGCCTATTTGGAGAAGAGTAAGTCACTCGTTATGTAACTTGTTGTACAAAAAGGAAACGGGCACCCAAAAAGAAAAGGAAAAAAACTGATGTTGCAGACAGCAGTGTCTTGTGGTAATGTTTTCCATCCTGAGCTGTTCGTTGCTGATGCACAGGTTGTTTTGTGTGCAGTTTGTGGCGGGAACTGAACATAAATTGCTGTGACAAAGGAAAGTGTACCTTTTCCGATCCCGTCTCTGATACCTGCAAGATCCTGGTATGTGTTCAATACTTTCCAGAACTCAGCTGGGATATCTGGTAATACAGGTTCACTCATTAAGACTTTTGTTTCTCTTTCTCCTCTCAGGTAAATATGGCCTTCAAAATAGTTTATGAGAGTGGACTTAATGAGTATGCTCTGTACTTGGATTGTGAGGGAACCAGAGCTTTTCACAAAGGATATGAGAGAGCCATGAGTCATCTGTTTAAGGACATGAGGATAAACCTGCCTGCCCTCAAGGTGCTTTGTACAAGCATTTCCATTTCGCATGCGGTCCGACTTCTTTTTATTGTGTCGTCTTCATGGTTGATATCTTTAATTAAGTTTTTAGACGGATTGACATCCTCGGGCTCTTTGAAGGAGGTTCCTCCCTGCATCAACAGCACAGCTCAGGCAAACTGGTTGAACAGAGGTGACGTGAGGAAAGCTTTGCACATCGAGGATTCACGGCCAGCCTGGGAAATCTGCAGGTACGTCACAGCAAATAATGATTACCACGTAGATTACCACGATGCTTTTGATTGCCATGTTACACAGCTCAATCCTCCGCGTGCACACTCAGCAGAAAGCAATGACCCAAAACAAATGTGTGGCACGTGTAAAGTTCCTTCTCTTAAGTAAAATAGAAATGACAGCCTTTTATGTGTTGAAATTCCGATCACATATTTTTCTGTCTTTATTTTCTACTTCTTTTCAATTGGAAAAAGAAAAAAACTGGAACTAGATCCTGTTAACCACAAAATTGCAGCCATCACTTCTCCTTTCAACACTGTAGGAGTTTCATACTTGATAAGAGCAGTCGCTGTAACTTTGGGAGTCAAATGTTGTCCTATTCGGGTTTTTTTTATTTTTATATTGCCTTTGTAATCATTAAAGAAAATGCAGGATTTGAATAAATATACAGCTTTTTGGAATGAGTGATACCTTTTTAATGGAGAAAAACATTTCTGCAATTATGATTCACACGAGTTTGAAACCACTCAAATCAGGACTCCCACCTCATTTGACATGTTATTGCTGGGGTTGATAACGGCCCGTTTTGTTTCAGTGATACCGTTGGAGCCCATTACAAGTCTACCTACTCAACGATGAGAGACGTGTATCTGAAGCTGCTCTCCATGGGCCTGCGGGCGCTCGTCTACAACGGAGACACCGACATGGCCTGCAACTTCTTGGGGGACCAGTGGTTTGTGGAGGACCTCGGCATAAAGGTATCTTAAACTTTAGAAAAGTTTATGTGCACAGCAGATAATCGTGTTTCCCATCTCCCCGACTCAAAACATGAAGACTGTTTCAATAGCACACGGTACTGTCCAGGCTAGGTCTAAAGTTTGGAATGTGTGACAGTGGTCACCGCACCAGAGCTGCTACCAGGGCCCATCCACACGCAGTTTAAGCTGCCACTGGGCCTGAGTGTGTGTTAGATTGAGCATTCAGATGAGGAACAGGCCTCTTTTGTACAGTCTGGAGACTCCAAAGATGGTTGCCCTGTTGTAACACTTACAATCTCTTCACATCTTTCTTCAGTTTATTTGTAGGGTATTGCGTGTTTGTTTGTTTTTTTCCCTCTCCACAGCAGCTTTAAATGTGCATTAACTGTAGTCAAATATTTCAGGCAACCACCAAGTACCAGCACTGGATCCATGATGACCAGGTTGCTGGTTTCTACCAACAATATGGAAACGTCACTTTCCTGACAGTAAAGGTAAGAATGAATGTGTCGGCATTGCTATCCTGCTTTAGATCGGGCCTGAGGTGTTGTTTCTGTGAAATACCGCTTTCCTCTGCGTTTCAGGGTGCAGGTCACATGGTTCCTCAGTGGGCTCCGGGTCCAGCTTTTCATCTGTTCCAGTCCTTCATAATGAACAGCTCCTACTGAGCCACAAATAAAGCTGTAGTCTGTGTCATACCTGCACTTCTTACTTTTAGGCTGTACGTTTTTCTCAGGGAAGATCCATAAAGAGAGAGCAAGGTCTATATTAGATCACATTGAATGTTTTCTTCTGAGAATTTATGTTTTTACCAGTTTACGAAACAGTTTAAGAATTGGGATTCCTTTCACACACACCCCCAGTTTTGTTCAGTGGATGTGGAAAAGTGTTGCTGCCCACTGTAGCCTAATGCTACCAGGAATAAAGCTGTAGACACTCAGAACTAAGAATACTGGAAAGTCTGTCAAAACTTTGGAGGAATCCTACAAATTAATTGCACAAAAGTGGTCTAAAAGGGAAAAGAGTCTAAACACAAACATATTAGAAATCTTAACAAAAAAGGGGACAGACTCCTGAGGTGTATCCTACAGGATTAATAGCACAAATGGAAGAAAAAAAATAGTTCTTGGTGCCTGGTTATGACATTACTTTTTTTTATTAATTCTTTTATGTGTTGGGGAAATACATTTAATTGGTGTGGGGCTTTCTCAGAGCTGATTCAATTTGTGATTTCACATAAACTGTCAATACAAAAACTAAGCTATATCTACTTTAAATTAAACCTGTTTGTTCTGTCTTATTTTTTCTTAACACAATGTTTGGTCTTTTTCTTATAAATAACTTTATGTACGTTTTAAATAAACCGTGTAGCCTTAATGGTTTAAGATCTTATGGGTGACCATCTGGATCAAATAATACACACGTGTTTAACTTTGTCTTTTTATTAAATATGTTGTTGATTTTGTGAAATGTGGATTTTTCCTTTTTTTTTTTTTACATGCTTTACCTGCAGTTACTTTATTGAAGTATTATCCGTGATAATGTAAGACATTTCCATTCAAACGACCCATGAGCATGTCTTTGAGTCGCCTTAAACAACAAGTATGATGGATTAGTGTTGATCATTCCGGACATAAAAGAAAAGAAAAAAAGTCAACTGAGAATCAGAGACTGATCGTACAAGCAGCTGTCTGAGGCACAAAAACAGCTATGGATAAAGATGTACTGAAAAATGGCCACAAATACATCACTATACAAAATATAAACACAATTTGTGTTCAAACACTGACTTTTAAGAGACATTCAGATAAATATGGCCCATCATTTTACTGTTTCCCTTCTAAGATACGTAGCTGTATTTATCAATATTTAATAAATACAGCTAATTACAACCAGGTTTGCTGATTTAAAAGAATCCTTTTATAAGATTTACCCTTTGAGTTCATAAAATAAATGTTTGAATTCTAACCAACGGGTATGGCAGTAGTTTATGTCCAGATTTCATTTGCGAGGTTCCAAGGTTTTTTGGCAACCGTTTGCAGCTTAAGTACCACCACAAATAGTGTTTCCACTCAATACCTATGCTCCACATATGTGTAGTGTAAACCTGAGGTGGATTTGGAAACCAGGGCGTGAGAAATCTTCCACTGATTTCCGGTAAGGGGGGCACTCACTTCTCATTAGTCCTAATAAGGTCTGCAGTCTGCTTGTTTTCACCCCTGAGCACCAACTTTGTCCTGATATAATTGTAAATATGAGTGTTCCACTTATCAATCTCATTGTTAGCAATACTTTGGTCTAATTTTTTTTGTGAGGGACCAACATTAAGGAAAAATAACTTCTCTCATAAGCAAATTCAGAGAGACTATATTTCCATTGTCCAAATTTTGGGCCAAAGATCCATTTTACTTTTCTTTTTAATTATAAAAAAAAAACCATGAGAATAAATTATCTTTTAAGTTTTAAATTAAGTTTGTCTTGTCCCCAGCTTTAAAGCTCTTACTCAGGCTGAAGTGTTTAGACTTGTGACTGTCCCTTATTAAATATAATAAACATGCTGTATTCACATATTGAGAGATTTTTCCTTTTTTTTGCTAAATGGAACAGATAACCTATGAGCAGTGCTATGACTTATGAAACAGAATATGGCAGTTTTCTGTGATCCGCATGCAAGCTAAAATTCACAAATTGGTACAATTTCATGATTAAAATCAATTTGATTAAAATTCCTTTATACTCTAAGTCCTTCAGCTCATGTACACAGGACGGGAATTTCTTGCCTGTGCAAGGTCCAGGGACGGGAGAATCCAGTCCAGTTCTCTCCTGAATGATGACCCCCAATCAAAAAAATTCATCAAAACTGCACAGAAAATAAAAAGAATGATGTCATAATTCACTTGGCATTTGGGGTCCCTTTGCCATTGAACCTCCCTTGTTTGTTTTTTTAACTGTTCGGAGCTGATGAGGATTTTCTTCTAATCGAGCATCGTGTCACCCTTCATCTCATCCAACAGTGCAGAATAGCAGCTCAGGTCTGGGGACTCCTTCTGTCTTAGTAATAGGAGTACAGCTCCAGCTTCAAAGGAGAGACTCCCTTTAGTTTACAACATCCTGGTAAATGGAGTTTGTTGTTGTGACGCCAAAGATGAATGCACCCAGTGTCACCATGGCAACACCGAAGATAACCAAACCATGCCAGCTGTAAAAGAGATGAAACAAAAAAAAAAACTAAGAATAAAACCAACATTTCACAGTGACTGTGATCTTCATGTCAAAGGGTCATTCACTTTTCTTCCTTAGACCCAGGCAAAAGACCCCGATGACTTCCTAACATGTTTGACTATACATCCAGAAGCCAAAGATAAAAATGGACCAGTTGTTAGCGTTTGTCAGCTCTCTACTTTTGGACCCAAACTTTGATAAAACTACAGCTTGCTTCAGGGCAAAGGGGAACTCAGTTTGGTTCCCAAAGTGTGATAAGAGAGACTGATGAAAGATACACATTAACCAAGATCCAGCTCCTCATAAAGAAGCATCCCTCCTACATATGAGTTAAGAGCTGAAGAAAGCTGAGAATTCAACCACTTAGAAATTACAGAGAGACTAAAAGCAGCATCTCACCTCGTAGATCGGATGTCTGTCTCCGACAGCTTGGCTTGCATCAGACACAAACCTGCAGGGTTGAGTACATGTCACACAGACATTAGTGGAACATTAAAATCCCACAGACACCCATAGATTCATCACACGGTTCACAGATTTACCTGGAAAAACAAAGATGAAACAGGCTGCCAGTCCTCCGATCAGCGAGATCACGCGGCCAATGTCTGGGATGAAGAGGGCGAGGACGAGGGTGACCACAAACCACACCAGCGTCTGCAGGATCCTCCTCCTCCGCTCACGACGCACACACACTTCCACCTGTTCGTCTTGGAAACGCAGCCAAAGCCCCTCCAACACTGCCCTGGAGAGACACACGACCCCAACGGAGAGCAGTGAAGGAATGCCTCATAAACTGCATCGTCAAACATTGACAGTTATTTAAAACCCCTCGGCAGACATGAACATATCCGACAGATCAATTCTAAGCTTTGAGCAGAAACACCAGACAACAACTTCTCAGTTGAAGGTGTCCCATTAACTGCAGGCTGCTAGAACACTAACATCACTACTTTTGTGGATGTCGTCCAATAAAGAAGCCTCAAGTCTGAACAGTCAAGCTTCAAGTTCAAGTTTGCAAATGAAAACATAAAATGTAATAAAAAAGAACCTGATCTCAATGGAGATGTTTTCCCCTTTTGCTCTTACCTGCCACAGAAGTGTAAAATGGGATAAGAGGTGACCACACAGATGACGATGAAAGCCCTCGCGATGGCAACGGCGATGTCATCGGGGGGGTACGACATCAGTACATCCTGACTCACGTTGGAGCCAAAAGTCAGGAAGCCGCAGACACCTAAGAAAAGAAAAACATGACACATACCAGTTGAGTCACTGTTCGCTGGGTGGAATATAGATGGGACAGACACCCCTCATTTAATTTATGAATTTGATTCAAATGTGTAAACCTGGTAAAAAAATAAAAACATACATTTTTAAAAAGCATGAGAAATAGAGGCCGTGTCAGGTATGTTACACACAAGTTGACTTACCTGTTCCTGTGTAGACAAAAAGGCAGATTATCATGCTGAGGGTCACAACAAGTCCCCACGGTTTGATCTCCTTCCTCCTCATGCTGTTGAACACCGGCACACAGCTGACGTGACACTGAAGGAGGAGACGCTCATCAGTTTCAAACTCAGTGGCCTAACATTTCGAACGGTTAAACGGTACTGAACAAGGAGTCACCTGGAAACCGAAGCATATGGTGGGCATCGCGTTGAATACGGCGGTCCAGGAGGCAGAGCTGTAACACAAACGGTTTGTGTGAGTTCAGATAAGTTGGACAGATTCAAAATGATAATGAAAGCCTTTGCCCTTAGGAAGGCCTACGCCATGACACAAAGTGTAGGACTGACCTGGTGGTCACTTCTCTCGGAGTCATCTCTTTGTCTGGCCAGATGTACTTTACAATAACCACGATGGTAACGTACCAGGTCCCCATCACGCTCAGGGCACTGCACAGAAAAGACACATCTGATGTGATCAACATGTGGGGGGAAGATAAAGAAGGAAAGACTGAAAATATTCATAAAAATTAATCTGTCAATCAAACATGTCTGTACCTGGCATATTTCTGAAAGCCGATCTCTTTGGGAATGGAGAGAGGAAGGATGACCAGCACGGCAGTAACAACGATGGTAAACTTTCGGTCTGTGTACCAAAAACCACCAGTGGAACCATCTGGATCATGGTTGACTGCAGCGATCACTGTGACAGGGAGCAGAGAGAGATGATGGTAGGCTGTGATGACAACAGGCAGGGACACAACTACTGTACACAGCAGCAGAACCACTAAACTATTCTTTAAAAAGACTGTTGGGGGATTGGATAAGCCAGATCAGAATTTATACTCAGTCAGCATCTCAGTGTACGCTCATGTAAGAGTTTGTCACATGAGTAAGTCCCATTTAGTGAGCATAAAAGCTGAGTGGGGCCATACTTCATGCTCTTTGTCCTCATCAATGACCGCATAGCCTTTCTCTATGTTACTGCTTTACTTAACTTCCAAACAGCTAAATGTAAGAAATAAAAAAGTGGAAGCATGTCTGGCTGACCCAACAGGAGACATGAGAGGCTGCTGGTTTGCAGCCGGTGAATAGACTTACAGCGATCCAGCTGGTCTCCGATGACGATAAAAAAAGCAATGCAGGTTCCGAACGTGTAGACAGCAATGGCTACTTCACATATGACTCCTGTGACTTTCCCACAGGTGACTCGGACAACCTCCTGATAGGTGCCCTCATTGCTGACCTGAAGAAACAATACAGATTCATTATTATCATTCATAAAAATAAAAATATAAAAACACTTGCTTAGTTTTTAATCTGAAGCCGAAGAAATGCGGCTTAGTCTGTTTGGGTTAATTGATTTTATCATCTGCGTTTCATTATCAGATGGTTCATTCCAAAAAAATGTCCAAATCATTTCCAGAATCATGCGAGGGTCCTCCGACAGTGGAAAAATTACTTGTATGCAACGGCATGCACCAGCGCAGAAGGACTTTACACACTGCTGACGCTTAGGTATCTCTAAAAAAGTTGATAGCTCATTCAAAAATGTTGCTGCATGCAAACACTGTATAACAGGATTCCACCTGCAGCAGAAAAAACATGACGCGCATCTTCCGATTAGCTTTTTTAAAATGTTTCTGCACCACAGTTTACATCATGTCGTCTTTAACCCTTTACCCACAAGCATAGTGCCAGTGCTGTGATTAGATGGCCACAGTTTGATTGACATAACTGGGTCAAAGTTTTATCAAAATGGAAAATTCCAACACTGATGTTGACCTGAGAATGTGTGGTTTCTCTCATTAGATGATGTATGGTATATATTACAGTTATGTGGAATTAAACTGTGTCTTTGATGAGAGACGAGCGACATACAGAGTGATGTACAAAGGAAAATGAGAGCAAGAAGAAGTGTTTGGTTTTTTTTAAAAGGTGTAGAGGAGTGCGATTTGGAGGAGGCTTCTTCTATTCTGGGGCATAAGAATAGCCTTTTTTTCTGAGCATATGCTGTTGCAATGCTGAAATATGCTCAGATGGTCATTTTCAGCCTCACTACAAAAGGAGCCAAATGTGACCTCAGCTTAGTAAGTTTTATTTTTGCTATGTCTTAACTTCCTGTTTGAGCACATGAGCAGTTGTCTGAGAGGTTCAGGAAGTGAAAGTCCACATTCATGAGAAATCATCTGCCTTCAGTCAGGAGCACAACCACAGATTGTCAAAGTTATTGCAAAAGCACGCTGCTTCTATGCTTTTTTCCCCCCCAAACATGAAGGACAAATAGATTAGGTGCCGCAGAATATGTTGCATGAAAAGGAGAACTGATAACGGAGGTAAGGGAGACATACCAGCGAGCAGTAGCCCAGAATCACCAGCCCGCTGATGATGAAGATCAGCATAAACTGAAACACAGGGAAAGAAGACACAAATTGTTAGTGTACAACCGTTACTGTGTTTCTGCTAACAACACAAACAAGGCATTGTATTTTCCTCATTAATGACAAAAATATCTTTCCGTTCTCCTTAGACATGAAAAAAGAAAAAGGAAAAAAAAAGTGATAAGGATGTAATGACGATGTTAGCAGGAACAGGAGCTGTTTGCACAGCAGATATAAAAATATGCAGCAAATGTTTGCAGCCTGGTAAACAGGTCTAGGGTCAAAAGGAAGGGAACCTCACTGATATCTCCTCACCATCTGAAGCATCACTCCTGCGGTTACTCCTCCTGCCATGTTGAAAGCTGCAGGGAAATTCAACAGACCTGCTCCCAGTGCTGCATTCACAACAATGAAGACGGCCCCTATGGACGACACGCCCCGGCTACTACTTTCGGCTTGCTCAGGGTGCCGGACAGAGTCCACACTGGGGCTCTGCAGGAGCCACGCTCTTTCTCCAGAGTCATTACTGACACCGCCCCAGTCCTCAATATCGGTGTTAATCGCCATGAGAAGAGGTAAATGTCTGAGTAAAGGGACTGAAGATGAGCGTCTACAGTGTTCAGTCCCAGTACGAGTCCCAGGGCTGCCAGTTGTTAGGGGTTATCAGGACTGATCAAGCCACATTGATGCCATCGACTGGTCAACCTGTAAAGAAAGATTACTTAAAACTGGACTTAGCAGAAAGGACTAAATAAAACAAAACAATAGAGATGTCATTTATATTGTTAACATTCTTTCAATGTAAGAGTTGCAGATCTAGTAATATGATTATTTGGACAACACAAAATCCCTAATTAAGTCTTTAAAGTGTAAATCAATACTACATTCCTGAAAAAAATAACTATCTTGTGTTATCATGCAAGTAATCCCCACTTAAATATTTCCATTCATTCAAGTCCCCACTACATGTTGAGTTTGAAGGTAACATAAATCCTCACAAAACTAAATCAAGTAAAAGTGCTGAATAAGCATGTTATTAGAAAAGAGGTGGATGCAGTCTCCTTATATTACCTGTACTGAAGAAGACTGGACGGCGCTTTAATTTGTCCTGACTAACCATGTCACGTCTCCAGTGTGTCTTACTGGACTTACATGAATGATTACTTTAAAAAAAATAAAAATAAAACACAACCCGTGTGCAAGTAAAACGGCAACGAGGAGGTAATGTCCAGATGGGAGCAATTTCATTCACAGCTAATTCTCCCAAACCATTTCAAACTCCTCCGACACACACGCACACATATTTATACAAGAAACAAGTACCCCACTATTCAAAATGACTAGCTTAGGACCTCTCTTTTCAGCACAAGAACAATGACATTTGCAAACGCTGACGTGCTCTTTGTGTTTGTGCCCTACAGCAGCTAGCCAACAAGCGACGTTAACTTCAAATAAAGAAAGGCTCATTTTGACAAAACCACACAGTTAAATTAGATAAAATTATTTAAATTAACAGCAATTAGACTGTCTAAATATCACAGCCTAACGCAGAACAATACCTGGGCAAAAAGTACCTTCAGCCACCGCCGCAAGGAATGACTGAGACCTCCGTGTTTTGGTGGACATAAGATACCGGACGGACATGTGACAACAGTTCACGTGACAGAAGTCACTCCCTTCCGCGTCCTTGGAATTATGGGAGTTGTAGTGCTCCACGTTTAAAAAAAACTGGAGACCCGAACAAGGTGATTCCTAAACTAAAACCTATAATAAGAATGATTCATTTGATTTTCACGTGGGTTTATATTCTAAACTATCATTCAAATGTTTAAAAAAAAAAAATCCTTATACTGTGAGGAAGAACTTATGGCTAGCCAATAGTGCAAGGACCAAAAAAAGCACACATTCAGACAGCTTGCTACCTTTAAAGATTTATTGTTTGTTCAGTGAAGTACATGACCAATGATCCTTCGTTCAAGACAGAATGCAGAGCATGGAGGCAAAGTGCCAGAAGTATGAGCGGGGGCAAACTGAAATGTTGCATCCGAGTGACTGAGCAGCACGTACATTTCCTACCAGATGCCACATTCATCTTTACAACTGAACACACAAATATCAGCGCTGGTACAGAGTACAAAGCCTTTAGAAAAATCCAACAGCTTACTCTGTTAGGGGCATGAACAGTATGAAGTTATCTAATGAGATTTACATTATTATTTTTGTTTTTTATTGACTTAACTCTCCAACCTGTTGCTTTACTTTTGTGGTTTATGGGCTTTTTAAATTGAGTATTTGAAATGGCTGACCTGTGCCCCCTCACCTGAAACCACAAACAATTCACACATCTTGCTGGAAAAGTACTGAACGCAAGATGGATAGAGGTTCCATTCCAAAAGAGAGACAATGAGACAGATTAAATTACTGCATGATTGATTAAATCAACAAAGTGACCTGATAACCTGATGAACGCCCATTTATACAGTGAGAAACTCAAATAGTGCCATACATACATAAAGTGCTACCACACCACCAATTAAATGAAATAAAGAAAAAAAAAGTCACATTTCCTACAGATTTTTGCAAAGCTAGCGAGATCTCATCCATTAATTCGACATCCATTAAACTGATGTTTTGAATTGAGAGAGTGGGGCCCCAGCAGAAACAGAGCAGACATTTAGAGGGATAGTTGTGCACAGCCAACGGCTGACTCCATCTAATAAATAGTATTAAACATAAGCTCGATCAGACACGTAATTCCATGTCTTTAAATTTTGGTTGGTAAAATGCTGGAAGAAAATGGGGAAATAAACAGCAACCGTTCCAAGTTGAAGTCAAGATGAAATCCAGAGAATATACATTGCTAAATAGTGATCTTCTCTAAAGGTGGAATGGAGGAGTGATGCGTAATACTCCTCTTAGACTCTGCAGCTTTGATTCTGTCGCTCCTCCGGTGGGATCAACTCTATTTGGTGACTGCGTGGATTCCTTCAGCCAAGTAGCCCACGTTCCCAGAGGAAACACCTGCCATGGAAATTCTGCCATCCTTGGTCATGTAGACTGAAAACTCCTTTGTCAGGCGCTCGACCTGCAGAAGAGCGATCATAACTCAAACAACTGAGGAGACAAAGAAGATAACGCCGAGCTCTGTTCCTTCACACAGCATCCTGTCGCTTAGACCTCGTCCATGCCATCCATCATCATAGGGAAAATCTTGTGTGGCACGCTACTCTAACCTACAAAGCTGTCATCCTACAGCTGATTCAGTACAGCTTAATGTGTGTAAGGATGAGGCTCCAAAACGCCTCCATTTTGGTATGTGAGGATAATTAAACAGGAAGGACAGTGGGTTAACTGAGATGCGTTTTTTTGTGCTAAATAGATGTAATTACTCTGACTGCTCCGCGCTCAGTTAAGCTGAGCTATGATTAGAGCTGGAAAACCACTGATCATCCATGTATACACAACCTGCTTCTTTCTCCTTTTTGGGTCTTCATTCATGTAAAAATTGCTGAATCTGCTTCACAGACATTAACAGTATCAAATGAATCATGTAGTTTGAGAATATAGCAAGAGTCTGGAAAATGCTCATATATTTCAAATATGCTCTTTACATCCTTCACAATGAGAAGGAACTTTGATATTTGAACAAAAAACCTAATCAAATCAGCGGGTAAATGGTATATAATAGAGCCTCAATCACGTTAAGTGTCTAAGGTCCGCTTGGTTGGCAAACAGCTTCAGAAAGACAAAGATATTTAAATACCTTTAAAAAAACACCTGGTTTTGGTCAGTCTGACAAAGTGTTATGTAAATTAGCTACAGGTGTGAAAAGCCTACTGTAGGGAGCTGTGAAGCCTTTATCCACTCAAGATTAACAACCATAACATCAAATGTGAGGATTCTTTACATTATAAGTTATAAGGGAAAGACAATTTTTCTTGGAAAACGACTAATCCAAGTCATTTTCCAACTACTTTTTTTTTTGTTTTAATTCCATACTTATGTAACAAGATGGTTAAATGAGACCAATACTTAGAATCATATTGAGATTCATTCAGAGCAGCAGAATCAGACCAGTGGGGGATAACAATTTGTAGTCTGTATGAAAAAGGAGAGAATATTTAATCTATTTAATTAATGTTGAGATATAATATACACACATCCTGCTGTCACCATGTAGTATCTTTTATCTCTTTCCTCCAGTGGGCTTTAGTTTTGGATAACCTTTAAGGAGCAGTTCATTGGGGAAAATGCCAGAATCTGTTTCTGTGATGCATCAGATCGTGAAGATGACTGATCACCTACAACTAATTGAAAACAAAGATACCTAAATAGACCAAATCTAATCTCAAACCTAACATTCCTCCTAAGAAATCTGCGCTGGCGTACCTGTTCGGGTTTGAGGCCTGTGAAGCAGAACATCCCGATCTGGTCGATGACGTGCTGCCAGTTGTGAGTGGAGCCGTTCTTTTTCAGACCTGCCACCAGCTGTTCCCTCATCTTAATGATGCGGTTGGCCATAGTGTGGACCTCTTCCAGCCTGCGAGCGGAAGTCAAGCGGGCAGCGTTCAGAACACGTCGGTGTTTCGTGTACATGAGTGTTGCATGTGTGTGGGCTCGCACCAGATGGAGCGCAGATCCGGCGTGTTGAGAATGGTCGCGGCGATCCTAGCACCGTTCATAGGGGGGTTGGAGTAAATGGGCCTGATGAGGATCTTGAGCTGAGACTCCACCCTCTTTGCCTCTTCTGCGTCGTTGCACACGATGGTGAAGCCTCCCACGCGCTCACCTGCCGGCATCAGAAGGGAGAAGTGAGCCTGACCTGCTCGGCCCAGTGAGGCAGGAGGAAAGCTCCGCTGCAAACACGGACTGAGTAAACTTAAGCCATGACGTCGGGGCTCGAAGGCCACCCTAATTGTGTTTATTCGCTCATTTTGCTCCAAGTACTGGAGTTGCTTTGTTGGCATAACTGATCTGCCACCACCGGGTGGAGGCAAAACACCGGTAAATAAACTGTTCGTGTCAGTGACGTGCTTTTCGTCTTTACGACTGACCGTACAGTCCCATGTTCTTAGCAAAAGACTGGGACAGCAGGATGTTGTGGCCCTGTTCAATGAAGTAGCGAACGGCCCAGGCGTCACGGTCAATGTCTCCGCTGGCAAAGCCTTGGTAGGCCATATCGAAGAACACCAGCAGGTTCCTCTTCTGCAAAGGGGAGAAGCAGATTAAAAAAAACAAGCGGTTAATCTTTGGAGTGCTGACATGACAACCAGATAATATTCATTACTTATCAGTTATGGCCTGTCTTTTCGCTGACACAGACGACACAGCAACGCGGCTCATCCAAGTGCTCCCACGCCCGATTCCCACTCACCTTCACCACCTCTGAGATCTCCTTCCACTGCTCGGGCTTGGGGTCCACACCGGTGGGGTTGTGGGCGCATGCATGTAGCACAATAATGCTCTTTTCTGGGATTTTCTGTAGCACACATAAGGTTTTAATTTACACAGGAGTTGTCATTCCGTCAGACGACCCGAAGGGGTCAGAATTGGAACTGGAAACGTATCCAGCCCCGTTGGTGGGGATCCCTTTCCGTTACTCACGGAGATGTCCTCGAGAGCTCCTTTGAAGTCAAAGCCGCAGGTGGATGGGTCGTAGTATCTGTAAGCTTTGAGCTGCAATCCAGCATCTCTGTAGATGGGTGTGTGGTTTCCCCAAGAGGGTTTGGGCAGGTAAATGTCGTGTGGCCCTGCGTGGAAACGGGCCTGTGACAAAGAGAGGCACTGTGAGTCAGCAAGCATGACTTATATGCTGCTTTTTGGGTTTTAAGATGACAGATACAAGCTACATTTACCAGATAGTTGCCTCCAATGCGCAGGGATCCAGTTCCTGAGATGGTCTGGACAGTGATGCTCTGCAGGGATTAAAACACAGCTGCTTGGAATTGGACTTCACACTCAGAGGCCATTGGAATCTGGATTTAAAACTCAACCCCCTTACCCTGCCACTCTTCAACACCTCGTTGTCAGCACCAAGAGCAAGCTGTGCACAAGCCTTGGTAAATTCCCCCAGCCCACCAATGGCAAGGTACTCCTTATCCAGCTGTTTGGCTGCAATCAAAGCCTCTGCCTAGACGACAAGCGTGGAAACAAAGAATAGGCTGAATTAATTTTAATATTTTAGCCGTAAACATCCTGCTAAGAAGCAGAAAACAATGCACAGAGGTCAAAGATTCTCACATTTACTAACAGGCTTGTTTAGTGATAAAAAAAATCTTTGATTCTGATAAATTCACATTGTAAAGCGTCCTTATTCATTGTAACGGGTGCTTTCGGTCAGTACGCTGAACAGAATTCACTGGAAGGTCTGATTGTTCTACCTTGCGAACACAGCTGAGCACAAAGGGCTTTCCCTGGTCATCCCTGTAGGCTCCCACTCCCAGGTTCATCTTCTTGGGGTTGGTATCCCTCTTGAAGGCCTCGGTCACCCCCAGGATGGGATCAGGGGGGCCCATCTGAACTCCACTCCACCATGAGCTGCACCAAAAGACACCAAATCAAAAGATGATTACAGGACTGCAAACACACAACGTGCTGAAATGAAACACTGTCATTCATGAGCACCAGAACAACCCAACGTGCTCAAGATTAGCCCATGACCCTGTGTGACACTAAGAATTAGTCGGACTCACATTCCACACGGTGGACCTAATACTTACGCTTAACCCCTCATGTGACCCGATGATAGCAGAGTGACGTAGATGCACAAAGACTGAGGGAGCACGAGGTTCATAGAACAAATAAAAACCCATTTAGAAGTTTCAAAGTCCAAAAACAAGCAAAACAGCTAATCTGGGTCTAAAATGTGAATATCGGCTGGACAGTGTTCAATCTATTATTTCTGGGGAGATGGATTAACTAAGATCATAGGGGTTTGAGTCACAACACAGGTGGTGACACAGATCTCTGGTGGGGGGTTGGGGCCGGAGTGAACAATTTCCCACTGAAGGTCTTCAGACTGGTGTGGGGGAAGGTGGGAAGACACACATCTGAAGAGAAGCATGGACAGTGTGCAAGCACTTTGACCAACAATTTAAATCATATTCTAATTTTGTCCTAATTATAATAAACAAGCCACAGAAGTTATCCAGGACTTAAAGGTTGTGATATCAGCTGTTTATCAAAAGAATGAAACGTCTGACCCCATGACTGCCACCCGATACTTCAAATCAGCCGTTTGAAAATCCAAACCAGCTGTTTAGGTACAAACACGTCTGATCATTGAGGTTGTGCAAATATATGTATGTGAATGTTGTGACTACAGCTGAACTTCTATGCTCACCAACATGTCATTGTCTCAGGTTTCTTCTAGTTTTGTAATCTGTCTAAACTTTGCAGCTAAATTTAGGACAGAATACTTTGCAAAGGGCAAGAGTGTCCAATACTCTATCATTAATACACACATGGTAGTCTTTAGTCACATCATGCCTTGACAAGCCTGCTTTTTGGGCAATTAAGTCATGCAGAAACCGAACGCTATGAGCAGGTTTGTGCTGCAATACAGCCCTACAGTGTGCCGCTTGGAAATCCGGAAGGGGAATAAAATCCCCATCTGATGATTAAACTGTTCCAAGAGTGCACACTTTGATGTATTTTATAGTTTATTGTATAAGGAAAAATACTACTAAGACACAAGTGTAGTTAGTTTTCCTTCAGTGATTGTTGCAAAAACTAAACTGTGAAGGTGTGTTCAAAACCAATGTTACACTTTCATTTTAAAAAGGTGCAATGCTTCCCAAAGAGGCAGTTGGGTTTACGCAGCAAGTCTCTGTCCTTATAATGAACTATGAACATCTGATCCTCAGACTTTATATCAACAAGAGACTGGCAAGTTATCAGCGATCAATAGACCAAAGGTCTTTTGACAGCACCGCTGTTCCTTTCCCCAAAAACAACACCTCCAACATGACAAGCACGTCTGTTTACAGGTCTTCTAATGATGGCTTAAAATAAAACGTGGTGGCGAAGAAACAAATGCACAACCGTGCTGTCAAAGTTAACCCACATTTACGCCCGTTGACATCGAACCAGCAAAGAGAAAGGAATCAATGATAAAACATTTTATATTCATGCAAATTATCTGCACGATTTTGCCCTCCAAATTGTTTGAGGTAGATCGTCACGATCACCGGTAATCAACCAGTCAGGGATCAGAGGTGGACCCTGGTAACCAATCAGCGTCGAGAGAAGGAAAGAAATCACGAATCAGATTGCACGTCTTCAACTACGACAAGTCTCCTAGCTCAAAATTCACGACGGATTTGAAACTAAGAAGGTGGCGACCAGAAAATGCAGGCGGAAAGTAATTTAAAGAGGAAACTGCTTTTTACTAAATATCCAGACTAAAATGGTTATTTTAACAAAGATGCATGGACCGCAGATAACTGGCCTAAACTGATTTTTTTTCCACATACCGTACCAATTTGAGTTCGCGCTGCCGACACAACGGCGTGACTTTCATCAGCAGCAAGCGCAACGACCTGCAGCACCAAACTGCTTTCTGGCGCAAATTATGAAATTTAAAAAACATGGAGTAAGATTTAACAAGCAACCTGTAGGTCACAGTGTTAAAAATTTAAGGACTGCATTTTCTAAGAGCCCCTTAGTCGCGTTGTGGTCACTGTTGCTAACCTAAGCCGACAGCACACCGGGGCCTGTTCAAACCATTTGACCCCTAAGTGTAGTTAGCTGAGCCGCTCGGGAAGCTTCACTAACCACTGGTAATTAACCTGCTCTATATACCAGAGCCCTGACAGACCCGATAAGATTTCAATGACTGTGTGCCTGCCACTCTGTGAGCTGTAAAACGTGACACAACGCTGCTAACTCATCAATGACATCTGCGGATGAAATGCCAAAATGTTCGGGCTACTTTTTAGCTCTCTGCGAAGTTTTACCTGTTGCGGGTGGCCAGAACTCCCAGGGCTGGGGAAACATTTCCCAGGCAGTAGATCACCTTGTTTGTCTTGAGCAGGGCCATGGTTGCAGCGCTTGGGAATCGAGCCTAGCAGGATGTGGACGGATGTGAAGGACAGCGGCGACCACGGTGAAGCACGCCACTTACGTGATGACGTCAGTACGACGTCGGCGCAGAAGAGACAAGAAGCCTATGGCAAGCCGTTTTAACATAAATTCGGTTTTGCCGCCCTTACATTCCAGATATCTCAAATCTCGCTAAAACTAGACGTTTTAGCGATTTAAGATATCTCTAATTATATTTTGACTAGTCAAAATACCTATTTGAGATATCTCTAATTACATTCTGACTAGTCGAAATGACGTCAGATTTACCATTGAGTTGTATGGAGACTTCAATTTAAGATATCTACAATGAATTACTGACTATCTGAAATACACATTTCAGATATCTACAATTAAATTACGACTAGTCATGAAGTAAATTCAAGATATCTCAATTTTAGTTTTGACTAGTCATAATTCTAATTAAAGATATCTCAAATTACACCATAATTCAAGATATCTTAAATGTATTTTTGGATAGGAGAAATGTAGTTTTGACTAGTGAAAATTAAATTATAGATATCTTAAAAGCAAATAATGACTAGACAAAACTAAATTTAAGATATCTTGAATTGCAATTTTGACTAGTCAAAATTACTTTTAAGATATCTCTAAATGAATTAGATATATCTTGAATTATTCGGCTTTTCCATTTAAGATATCTTAAATTGACATTCTGACTAGTCAAAATTACATTAATGATATCTTGAATTAGCATTCTGTTTAGTCAAAACGTCACAGATTTACGCAGCATTTTGGCTGACATTCTAGGCATTCTAGCCTTCGGCTACTTGATTATGCTATCAGTGGTCCACAATGTCAGATCAGTCCAACTCAAATGCTCGTGTTTTCAGGAAGAAACACTATGCGAAGAGAAAGTTTGTGCACATCGTTGCTGGGATCCAAGAGGGCTGAATCTTCAAGATTATAAAACGTGCTATAAAATGGTTCCAGAACATGTAAAAACACATCCCTCCAAAGACGCTCAATTCTCTGATTATGGATGGATTCCCCAGTTAGATGACTCCGACGTTCAATGCCCTGAAGGAGATTCATCACCAGTGCCACTTGCACATTGCACCATGGTCTGACCTCACTCTAGAAGGTAAGCCATAGAGGCCTGTTGCCTTGAGAAAATGAAATAGCACTGTTGAAGCGCGACTGTCTGTGCTGCAGTTCAAGTAAGTAATTAAGCGTGAACATCCATCGATGCCACCATGGACCACAAAGCCCCACCTAATTGGAAATACAAAAGATGTATAAGGAATAATGTATGCAAATGTGTATAGGGAATTTAGTTCTAATACATCTACTCTGAAATACATTCTGTATATTTTCAGATACCTTATGAGACGCATGTTGCCATCAATATGCCATAAACTGTTGGGATACGGCACATGATAGACACGTCGAGACACTGCACTGCTCCACCTCCTTGCAGTTGCCATTGGGTTGATTCGAGCCATCATCTCACGGACCTTAGGCCGTGGAACCACTAGTCCTCGTGCATGCAACAAGCCTCGCATCATCTGGTTCAATGAAGGACATGTGGTCTTACTATTTTGAACCACCACACAATTTTACATTTTGAAAGAAGTCTTTTACAAAATATAGGTTTCAGATTTCACATCTGGTCATAAAATAAATTATTTTTTTTATCATCATCATTTGTGACACTTAAAATGAAATAATAAAATAATTAGTATTCTGCACCACCACTGTTGAATATATTACTTCAGAAGTAATATATTTAGATTCCATACCTCCGTCCCGGAATTTGGATACAGGGATTGAAGTTGTCTGATAATAGTTTCAAGGTCTTCATCAGTCACTGCAGTCACTTCCCTTGATTGGTACAGCAAAGGTGATATCTAACTGGTTTAGGGAACAAAACATAAAGATTTTGGGTCCATGGCCTGGAAACTCCCCATATCTTAATCTCATTGAAAACTTGTGGTCAATCATTAAGAGACGGGTGGAAAAACAAAAACCTAGGAATTTTGACAAAATGCAAGCATTGATTGTATTGCTGTATGTGATGACAACATCTGACATACACACATGAAAACCAGAGGGCAGTAGATCATGTGAAAATATAATATTTGTGTTATTCTCAATACTTTTGGCCATGACTGTATATAGCTGAGAACATGACATGTTTTGTTTAGAGACTGGAAAGATTATCTTTTGGAAAATCAAAAAGATGTTTCAAAATGTAAGAATGTGAATACTCAATATAGGATAAACAGATTACAGTAGCTTTTTAACATCAGGGCAAATACAGGAATAGAATTCCATCCATACATACATACATGGATGAAGACATTAGCCAGACTGGAAAATCAGGCTATAGAAACGTATATGCAAACATTATATTGGCGACACGCAGCGATACGCCGACAGACACCAACAGCCCAGTTTGGGATGGATTGCGCAATCAGAGGTTTAGCTCGGCTCCTTGCTGGCGCACATCACGTTTCACCCCGTATTTCAACAGAAAATGTGCAATTTCAGCGATTTTGACAATTAAAATGATCGCAATTAGTCATACATAAAGATCGGGGGACAAATAATAATATGTCATCGTATGTTTTGTCTTGTGAGGATGACCGCACGTCCCATAAATATATATACACAGCTACATAATTGCAGTCTCTGTGGCTGTGCAAGTTGAAAACCTTGGGAAAGAAACATTTTTCTCAGATTATTACGTACGTTGGCACTCGGCATGCCCTACCGGTAGCCCCCTACCGGACCCCGGCACCGGTAGCCCGGTGTCCCGGTAGCTCCGTGCCGCCGCCCCCCCCCCCCCCCCCC